ACGTTCATCACACTTCTATTCCCATCACTGCACGACTACAACTTAAAATTCTCTAGTATATTGTCGAGTGCTTGTCCAGTAATAATTCTGCATTACGAAAACTCCTGAAAAAATAACGAATTTATCCCTTTTCCCTCTCCTTCCCCCGCTAAAAAGCACCTGCCGTTACTTGAATCGCTGATGGCGGGCTCTTTTTCTGGTCCTAAGGATGTCAACGCGCGCTAGTTTTAAGACCGCGGTCCACCACAAATCTAGGACTAAAATATTTTAGTTATCTTTTTGTAGCAACCTAGTGTGAAATCTTGTTTGGCCAAGCAGTTAACACCTCATCTGGAGGTCCGGGATTTAAGACTCGCCCGTCGCGTTGTTTCCTTAGACAAGGAACTTTACTCCATTTTGTTTCTCTTTACCCAGGTGTATAAATGGGTTGCGATCATGGACTAGCATCCCCTCCAGAGGGGAGTAGCAATACTCCTAGGTGCTCCATGCTAATGAAACCGGGATAAGCTCCAGCCGTTTGCTCGTGTGCGCCTTTACCTTACCCTTTTTATACCTTTCTAGCAACCTAATCCTACCTTCATCGTTAAATAAATTGCTCAGTGAAGGATGCCTTCGCGCATACAGCTGTTATTCGTTTATTTTGCCGAAAACTTCGCAATGTATAGCCAATGTTTTGTAGTGCTGTGTTCAGGAACGCGTGACGAACCCCTAAGAACGTCTGCGTGGGAGGCTGTTTGTTTGTTTTTACTCATTTTTGGCCAAGGACGCGGCCTGCTCCAAATTTTCCCTCGCATGTACAGAACGTGGGTAAAACTTTCGCCCTCATTTTCGACAGCGACAAATACTTATGTTCCTTGACTGTAGCTCTTTTTGTTTCAGAACACAAGCCACACTCGAAGATAAAACGCTTCTATTCGTGGTTCTGTGGTTATGAGGCAGGAACGGAAGAAGCCAAAAAAGCAGCTCATGAACAACATGAACGTCTTCAACACCTCACATCCCTGGAGCGAAATCGTTACGCCGAAACCTTCCTTAACATCAATGTGCTTATTGTTATGGCAATCGGGCTCTACCTCTTTATTTTCTTCTCCATTTAATTTTCGCGCTATAATCTGTGTTCCTGGGTCTTTTATCCAGGGGTTTGTAATATCTGTCAACGAGTTCCTCACGCTTCATTTATTGTCTCCTAGGGAAACAGTGACTTCCGTTTTCCGTTAGACCGGTCAGTAATTAAGTGTTTTCTTATACCTCATAACTCGATATTTCGGTCATAACCCGAAAAAAGTTTTATTTGCTTGGCGCGACTGGCAGTTAGAGTTCTCCGGCTAGCCTGCGTAGCTGGCAGGATCGTCACGGCAGCGCGTATTGAGGCAGAGAGTTGCTAGTCCGCGCTGAGAATGAGGAAGACACGCTTTGAAATTAGAATATTCTCGCGTGGACGAATTCTGCTAGCTACGCATGTTAACTTCCCTCGTTTGCAAGGTACACAACCCGGAACGCTTACCATTTGTATGGAAAATGCCTAATTCTGGGAAGAATACAAAATTGTAACAGTTCATCCTGGTGGAATACCCTTGAAGAATCACGTTTTTCCCGCTTTTACAGGGCCGACCAAAATTGTTCGTACCATTTGTTTGGATTACCAGTGCCAGGCTTCCTCACAAGAAAAAGCGAAACATTAACCGGGATTTTGTAAATGAGTTAAGTTAATTCCATTCCTGTTTTAAGTGCGAAAAAAAAAATACTAGTGCCATTTGACGTAAATTTTCTCAAAAATTTCCGTTCAAATGTTAAACGCTCTTGGTAACATGCGCGAGTCTAACACTCCCAGGGTATATAGTTAGGGAGGGAGGGGAGTTAGGGCGCTCCCTTTAGTTGGGAGGTATAACAAAGATAAGGGTATAATTACACGGTGTGTAATCTACCTTGACATTTTCTTTCAATGCTTCTGTCGGGTCTAGTTTTTTTTTATAATTTTCCTGCCCATGTAACCTGTGTAACAGTCTGATAATAGTTGTAGTAACAGTTCTATAATCATTATACTTAACAATTTGCTGAAGTTATAAGCGTGTGGCTTACATTGACGTAGTAAATAACTCTAAGCTGAAGTTAGGTGAACAATTATTTTGGGTGATTACAGTCAGTAGGGCAAAATATTACTTACTGCTCCTTTGGGCGCTCACGTGGTAAATAGTACTAGAAAATATTTTTTCATTGTGGTAAAATGGGAACTGTAGCTATCGTTTGTTGTAATTTTTAAAGTAAACTCAGTAATATTTCAACTGTGCAATTGTGTCATGCCTGATTTTTTTCCCGCTTAAGAGAGGAAAGGGCAGAAATCGTCCCACGTCCAGTCGACCTCAGTCTATTTCCACTTCTCCCTCTAACCTGTATTTCTTATCGTTATAGGGTTAAGGGTATTGTTTGGGTCCTTTGACTATTTTTTCGTGAGTCCGCTGACAGCCTTGGTTGTAAACTTTGTAATCTTATTTGTATTGTGATTCTCACACCGTAAAGAGGGGTACAAATAATCCTTTGCATTCGGGCCGTGGTGTGAAAAAAAGGCGGGACACGGGGGAGAGGGCCGGGCACACGTAAGTTGGCTAGCTCTTCACAAGGTGTTTACTAGTCGATTATTTCACAACAGTCTGTTGATCAATTTAAATGCCCCCACTGCACAGATCTTAGTCCTTCTACAGTTAGATGACCCTGTCGGTCATTTCCTCTCCGCCATCGTTGTTCTGTTCACTATCCTCAACGCTTCCCGTTCTTCGAAAACGCTCTCTCAGTTTTGTATACAGTTTCTCGTATTCGTGACTCTTGACGATGGAGTTAATCACGTTGGACATGGCAGCTAAACCTAGAATGACCATAGTGACACGATAGGCCATATGTGTTCGGTGAGGGTAAAAGGCGGAATGAGTTTGCGGAATGGCATGTGGCATGGCTTGCGGAATGACATAATTATGCGGAATTTAATATACGCTGCTGAATGATCAAAAGAAATAAATTAAACTGAAAAGAGCACCCTTTTTTGGCGCCAATCAATTTGCAAACGCAGCCGCTGTTTTAATGTTGCGGGCTTAACCTTTGATGACAATCAAAAAAAAACCACGAAGGCTCATTGTCGACCAGCCTTTTCCGCACAGCCAAAAAGATTCTTCGTCTATTGAAGAAAAGATGTTTTCGAAGGTCACGCTCCCTTCTACTTTAATTTTTTCTACAAAAGATGCTTGTACGATTAACTCAACAGTTTCTTGTTACCTATATCTGTATTCGAAACCGTGTGAGAAGTGTTTCTTTATGAGACTGTGGGTTACGTGATCGTGACATAATTGATAATATTATTCAGAGATGAATGAATCTTGTATTTTGTTTCCTCAACTGCGAGCTTGAGACGTGCGAAACAGAAAAATCGACCAAAATCTTAATTTCGTGACAAGAGTTGAAAAATCAATTTCTTTCATTTTTGTTCATAGATAGCTTTTAGGTAAAAGAGAAACCTAACGTAGATTGTTCCCGCCGAAAGCCTTTTGTTCGGGAGAAAAAATAGAAGATCGGTTTTCGATGTCGCCGGAGTCTCAGACTGCATTAATTTTAACCTGAAATTCGCTAACATCAACTTTCCTCGCGTTCGCAAACGAAGCTGGATGGAGAAATTTGGACACTTTCCACGAACAGAAAAATTCTTTTTCCTTCCACTAGAAGATACTTTCTGGACAATAGGGAAGCTGGTCGTACTGAAATAATTTTAAAAATGAGGGATAGGTTTTCAGGATAACAAAAATTTCAGTTCGTTACTCATTTTCGCCGCCAATATTTAACATGTGGTATAACTCCAAATTCTCTTCTTGCGATTTAAATCACACATTTAGACATTCATTTAAAACATACCTGGGAATTGGCTTGGGTAAGTGAAGGAAATCTCTGTAAGACACCATCGAAGTTCAGGAATTTTCATGGTAGGCTGGCGGTATAAATTGTCTGTATTGTGTAAACAAGAAAAACAACAACAAAAATCGAGAATTTCTCTGTAGAACTTCCAATTTCGAAACGCACATAAACAGATATTTACAGCCCAATGGCTCGTTTTTCGTACGTCTTGTAGGGTTTCCCTTTGCAAAATTGCTTTTTTTCAATCAAAGAATGGGGTAAAAAGGTGAAACTGGGTCAATTTTAGCCATTTTGAAACACTGAACTTTACCTGCCGGCGACTCTGCGTGACAGTCTGTTCCGTGACTGCACGTGGCACAACGTACGTTTGAAGAGATGGAGCTGTCAAAATCACAGTCACGAAATCAAGGTAGTAACGCAACGTAATTCTTGATCGAAGGAGTAACACTTTCGGTGCCGACAGTATTTTGAAGAAGCAAAAAATCAAATGCACAAGTATTCTGGGATTCACTTTCTATCGACTCAAAAATAAGGACTCTAACAATGGTATTAAATTCGCTAAGGATAACGGAAAAAGAAGATATTTCGTCTTGCTAATCGAGGAAACTAAGTTATTTTGGTCACGCCTCAGTATATTTACCGGACTTCAATGTTTTCGTGTGGAGGCTGCCTTCAGGAACCCTAGCTAATTCTCGGGTATGTTTTAGATAAATGTCTAAATGCGTGAACCAGTAAAGCAGTTGTTCACTCAAATTGGCGCCAAAAAAGGGGCGTCAATGACCCGCGCATGCCTTTCAGTTTAATTTATTTCTTTGCGCCAATTTCCATATTTTACATTCCGCATAATTATGTCATTCCGCAAGCCATGCCACATGCCATTCCGCAAACTCATTCCGCCTTTTACCCTCACCGATATGTGTTTTGTGTCTTGAATTGGATCTTGAATGACCAGGAATCAGATCACCGAACCCAACAGTCGTAAACGTGATGAAGTAGGCATAAACACCTTCCAGAAATGTCCATTCGTCGATTTTCGTTTGGATTCCTGCGCCTACGAGCAAGAAAATCAGCAACAACAGGAAACCTAAAAAAGCGCATTTTTCGTTTAAGAACTTTGGTGTGCTTTCTTTCTTTAGGCAGCCTTTTTCGAATCTTGTGATGAGAATTTGTTGCCCAGTAAGCATTAATTCTCCAACCACTTGTAAAAAGAGAATGTTTATCGGGATGCCGAAGAGAGCGTAAAAGATGCAAAGAATACGTCCAGCTGATGTCACTGGTGTTATGTTTCCATAACCTGGAAAATAATCACGGGACGGTTAAGTTAATGGCCCGACCAGAAGGCGATCGAGTCCAGTAACCCCTTATTCTACAGACTATAGCCCTTATAATGCGACCACCCCACCACCCTGTCACTGGACGCTCATTAGGCTGCAACCTCGTTTCCAGGTTCTCTCTCTTATCCTACTCTCTCTCGCTCCATAGGGACGGAGATTGATTAGGCTGGAGCTTTATTTCTGTAACATGAAACGACCACAAATGTTTCTTCTCCCCTCTGGACTGGATGAGATGCCAGAACCTCGTACCCCCAGCAATTTATCGCCGGTACTCACTGCCGCTGGGTGAAGTGAGCGGGCGTCTTAGGGTAAAGCATCTTTTGGATTCCCAGGGTGCCAGGGTAGTCATAATTCTGAATTTGCACACTATTTACAACTAAGTAACAGCCACAACCAAGCGTTTGCGTAGTTGATGGTCATTATTTAAACTTACAATCACAAACTAAGGTTTAGTATCATAAAAGTGACGCTACCTTAAATACGATCATGACCCAGTTAATGTAGACTGCAAAACAGTCCGTATTTTTGCGTATTCAAGTACGCCCTACGGGCCCTTCGGGCGTGTGAGGCTCCCGCGGTTCGCGCGCATAAGACTCTTACGCCACGCGTTACCGATTTCTTTACTGATTTTGAGGAAAAAACCGGCTGTTTTGCAGTCTACAGTTAATGCGGCGACTCGTATGTAATGCATCAGTCAATTCCATTTGCCAACCCCGGGGCCATTTCCGAGCTTTTGACACGCACGCGATTTCCTATCAGAATATAACTACACAGAAGGTTTTACTGAAAAAAAAAAGCAGACTGGCTCATCTGTCAAGGACAGGAATAAATTGAAGAGGGATGTAAAAGGCATGTTCTCGATTTTATGCATGCAAGTCTTCATTGCTTATCAAGCCAGAATAACATTGCGAAATTGGAGCTATGGATGTTGATCAAAGTTTTTTGGTTATTGAATCAATTTTTGTTGATATCATTTGAAGAACATCCTTTCATATTCATAAAACTACTCATAACATATAACTTTACAGCGCTCTATTAATTTTTATAATGTCAATAATTTCATATCAATACTAAAACCATAAACTGGTGCATGTCGTCGCGGCGTGAAGTCTTAATTAGAATCCTCGCGCTATTACAAAGGAAGACGTTAATTGAAACCAAAAATCGAACATTAAATGCTTAATATGGCACTATTCGACTGTGCGATCAATGAAAACTGTTGCAGTGTTGACGGAGGATGGGGCATTTGCCCTTTTTTCGTCCCCATCCCGGGGATTTGACAGCTCAAAGTCCCCACCCCGGGAATTTGCCATCCAAAAAATGCTAATGCCGGAGGTCAGCCCCGGAGGGGGGTCAATGGCAGGTGGAACTGACTGATGCATAATTACGGGTTATTTGCATGCTTTCAGCTGGGCGGGATTTTGCGATTATTAAGGATTAGAGATCTATCACCCCTCATATCAATCAAACAAAACGCACGCGCAACACAAGCGTCTCTTTAGCGCCAGGCTTACTGCTAGCAGAAGTGATCGGCAATTATTTATCACCTCTCCGCACTGCCTTGTTACTTTGGGAAAGAGTTAACAGAAGCCTACGCGTACTAGAGCTCCCGATAAGAGGTGGGTGCTTGATACGGGGCGGTAGGAAAGGGAGAACGAGAAGTCTCCCTCTCTTGCCGTTATCAACCCCCACCACCACCACCACACATCGCCTCTTAAAAGCAGGGAGTGGGGAGGACACGTTTTACCGAGAACTGCTTCCGTCTCGCGTCCCTATTGCACGCGTACTCATTTTCTTTTCGCGCGAACTTCGTTTGACGGGCTAAGCAAGAACAGGGGCTGCTCTTGGTCTATTTTATTAGTTTTTGCACTCAAATCCATATCGCGCGGACCTACGTATAACTTGGGCGTTTATAATGGAGTAATTGTGTATATATGGCACTCAAATGATTTGCAAACAACACGTACCATGCACAAGATGACCATGTAAACATTGTCCGCTGCGCTGACTATATTAAAATATTAAAATACCCTTAACTGAGTAAAACAATATAGCGCCAAGAATTGGTTGATAAAATCGTATTCTCTAAAATGAGAAATAATTGAATTCAGTACTTGTGGGGAAGTAACATGTAATTTTATAGCTGGATTATTATGGGGCGCCGTTTGTAAAAAAAATGATTTAGCTTAATTTTGTCATTTTTTTCGTTATTTATTAAATAAAGTTTTCTGATATGATATCATACGTCAATGATTTGATATAATAAATGTTGATTTCAAATCATGCGTTTATGATTTGATATAATAAATTATTATTTAAAATCATGCGTTTATGATTTGATATAATAAATTCTGATTTCAAATCATGCCTTTATGATTTGATATAATAAATCCTGATTTCAAATCATTCGTTTATGATCTGATATAATAAATCCTGATTTCAAATCATAAGTTTATGATTTCATATAATAAGTTCTGAGTTTAAATCATAAGTTTATGATTTGATATAATAAATCCTGATTTCAAATCATAAGTATATGATTTCATATAATAAAAATCATTATTTGATATCAGTAAAACCATGATTTAATTTAATAAGTAATAAGTAACCGCGTGACTTGGCACGTGGGTTACTAGCGCGGGAATAATCGCAAAGATGGCGACACAACCAGATCAGCTATCGAGGTCAATCGCTTCTAGGGTCTCTAGATATGGGGCGCCGTTTGTAAAAAAAATGATTTAGCTTAATTTTGTCATTTTTTTCGTTATTTATTAAATAAAGTTTTCTGATATGATATCATACGTCAATGATTTGATAGAATAAATGTTGATTTCAAATCATGCGTTTATGATTTGATATAATAAATTATTATTTAAAATCATGCGTTTATGATTTGATATAATAAATTATTTTTTCAAATCCTGCCTTTATGATTTGATATAATAAATATTGATTTCAAATCATAAGTTTATGATTTGATATAATAAATCCTGATTTCAAATCATTCGTTTATGATTTGATATAATAAATCCTGATTTCAAATCATAAGTTTATGATTTCATATAATAAGTTCTCATTTTAAATCATAAGTTTATGATTTGATATAATAAATCCTGATTTCAAATCATAAGTATTATGATTTCATATAATAAAAATCATTATTTGATATCAGTAAAACCATGATTTAATTTAATAAGTAATAAGTAACCGCGTGACTTGGCAGGTGGGTTACTAGCGCGGGAATAATCGCAAAGATGGCGACACAACCAGATCAGCTATCGAGGTCAATCGCTTCTAGGGTCTCTAGAGCCGTAGAAAGGGCGGTTGACCAAGCTTTGGCATCCCTTCCGAACATATATATACTACTGCGATTTGTTGCCAAACCAGAGTCTCAATGTTACGCCTGTACAATGATTTTTGCTCGCCAAGGACGCTTGGACCGATGTCACTAACTAATAATTTCTCCTCCCGGTGTTGAGGTGTAAATAGCCCTTTGTTTGTCTCGATCTCTTGTTCTATGACGAACTGTCTTGTCGCCTCACTTTGTGAAATAGAAAGAATCATTAGCTGTATGTTATTTTAGTATGGCTACTAAAAGGACATAACAAAGGAAGCAAACACATCTAAAAGTAAGCCGCGCGTGTCACGCAATGCGCCAGACAAGCGAAAGGTCCAAAAGTCCTCTTTCCTCGTAAATATGGTCATAGCTTTCAGCAGTGATACATCCTCGGGGAGGGGTATGTGCCGCCAGGACTCCAAATAGGCACCCCGTTCTAAAAAAAAATATCCCTAAAATTGATACCCCGTTCTAGATATGGGCCAATTTTTTTATATCCCGTTCTAGAATTCGCCTTAAAACTGATACCCCGTTCTAGAAATGGGCCGATTTTCTATACTCCGTTCTAGAAAGTTCGTAAATTGAAATAGCCCTGTTTTTTTAAAAGATATTTCTTTATTTGTTCGACTTATACATCAAATAGATGCTTCTTCATAATCAGCAACAATTTTAAGCAGAAGATAAAGCCATGATCCACAATTTTTTTAATACCCCGTTCTAGAAAACGCCTCTGAAATGGATACCCCGTTCTAAATCAGGGTTTCAAAATCACGACCCCGTTGGGCGGCACATATACCCGTACAGGTAATGTATGAGAGTACCCCCCACCCCGATACATCAATGTTACATACCTCTTGTGTCGCAGCAGCAAAACCTGAATTGCCAGGAAGGCTCGGAAGGGATGCCAAAGCTTGGTCAACCGCCCTTTCTACGGCTCTAGAGACCCTAGAAGCGATTGACCTCGATAGCTGATCTGGTTGTGTCGCCATCTTTGCGATTATTCCGCGCTAGTAACCCACGTGCCAAGTCACGCGGTTACTTATTACTTATTAAATTAAATCATGGTTTTACTGATATCAAATAATGATTTTTATTATATGAAATCATAATACTTATGATTTGAAATCAGGATTTATTATATCAAATCATAAACTTATGATTTAAAATCAGAACTTAGTATATGAAATCATAAACTTATGATTTGAAATCAGGATTTATTATATCAAATCATAAACGAATGATTTGAAATCAGGATTTATTATATCAAATCATAAACTTATGATTTGAAATCAATATTTATTATATCAAATCATAAAGGCATGATTTGAAATCAGAATTTATTATATCAAATCATAAACGCATGATTTGAAATCAGAATTTATTATATCAAATCATAAACGCATGATTTGAAATCAACATTTATTATATCAAATCATTGACGTATGATATCATATCAGAAAACTTTATTTAATAAATAACGAAAAAAATGACAAAATTAAGCTAAATCATTTTTTTACAAACGGCGCCCCATATCTAGAGCCGTAGAAAGGGCGGTTGACCAAGCTTTGGCATCCCTTCCGAGCCTTCCTGGCAATTCAGGTTTTGCTGCTGCGACACAAGAGGTATGTAACATTGATGTATCCGGGGGGGTACTCCCATAGATTACCTGTACGGGTATATGTGCCGCCCAACGGGGCCGTGATTTTGAAGCTCCTGATTTAGAACGGGGTATCCATTTCAGAGGCGTTTTCTAGAACTGGGTATAAAAAAATTGTGGATCATGGCTTTATCTTCTGCTTAAAATTGTTGCTGATTATGAAGAAGCATCTATTTGATGTATAAGTCGAACAAATAAAGAAATATCTTTTAAAAAAACAGGGCTATTTCAATTTACGAACTTTCTAGAACGGAGTATAAAAAATCGGCCCATTTCTAGAACGGGGTATCAGTTTTAAGGCGAATTCTAGAACGGGATATAAAAAAATTGGCCCATATCTAGAACGGGGTATCAATTTTAGGGGATATTTTTTTTAGAACGGGGTGCCTATTTGGAGTCCCGGGCGGCACATACCCCTCCCCCCTCCGAGGATGTATCACTGCTAAAGCATCCCAGTCGCTGCTGGGGTGATGACCTGTGTGTCGATGTGATTAACAAAAAATCATTATTGATGTCTTCCAAGCGCCTCATCTATTTCTTACATGTTGCACTGCATCATTAGTTAAGGGAATTGCGTGTTAATCGGAAAGTTATGACTATATTTACGAGGGAAAGAGGACTTTTGGACCTTTCGCATGTCTGGCGCATTGCGTGACACGCGCGGCTTAGTTTTAGATGTGTTTGCTTCCTTTGTTATGTCCTGTTAGTAGCCATACTAAAATAACATACAGCTAATGATTGTTTCTATTTCACAAAGTGAGGCGACAAGACAGTTCGTCAGAGAACAAGAGATCGAGACAAACAAAGGGCTATTTACACCTCAACACCGGGAGGAGAAATTATTAGTTAGTGACATCGGTCCAAGCGTCCTTGGCGAGCAAAAATCATTGTACAGGCGTAACATTGAGACTCTGGTTTGGCAACAAATCGCAGTAGTATATATATGTTCGGAAGGGATGCCAAAGCTTGGTCAACCGCCCTTTCTACGGCTCTAGAGACCGCAGAAGCGATTGACCTCGATAGCTGATCTGGTTGTGTCGCCATCTTTGCGATTATTCCCGTGCTAGTAACCCACGTGCCAAGTCACGCGGTTACTTATTACTTATTAAATTAAATCATGGTTTTACTGATATCAAATAATGATTTTTATTATATGAAATCATATACTTATGATTTGAAATCAGGATTTATTATATCAAATCATAAACTTATGATTTAAACTCAGAACTTATTATATGAAATCATAAACTTATGATTTGAAATCAGGATTTATTATATCAAATCATAAACGAATGATTTGAAATCAGGATTTATTATATCAAATCATAAACTTATGATTTGAAATCAATATTTATTATATCAAATCATAAAGGTATGATTTGAAAAAATAATTTATTATATCAAATCATGCGTTTATGATTTGAAATCAGAATTCATTATATCAAATCATAAACGCATGATTTTAAATAATAATTTATTATATCAAATCATAAACGCATGATTTGAAATCAACATTTATTATATCAAATCATTGACGTATGATATCATATCAGAAAACTTTATTTAATAAATAACGAAAAAAATGACAAAATTAAGCTAAATCATTTTTTTTACAAACGGCGCCCCATAGATTATCTAACAGGAGAGTGGGTGACCTTTTCAAGCTAGAAAGTCTTTATATATATTAGATTCGCAGTCTTACCAATTGTTGTTAGCAGTTGAAGAATGAAGGACAGCGTGTTTTTATAGTTCCATTCAGGTCCAGCACTTGACGAGTTTGCGTGCTGGATTTGCCAAACAAGGTCGTCAAATTCATCCTCGCTCATATTGTAATTCTTTGTAACATCTTCCTTCAGTTTTTTAAGCCGAAGCCCTGCATTTGACTTTTCGGTACTCCCACTATCGCCTTCAACAGCTTTGAACATAAACACACCAATAGTGATGTAAATCAGCCAGGTTAAAAACAAGACTAAAAGTTTGTAAGCTTTTCCCGACATGGCGATGGCTGCCCGGGATGGAGCGATCACAACTGCTCGGCCACAGGTAATCTGTTGCTATGACAATGTCAACATAATTGCCACCGTCTTTTTATATACCTCGCCGCGATCAGGGCCAAAGGATCACATTTGAACAGCTTAATGAAAGCAAAATTGCCGGATGTTTTCCTACAAAATAATCATCCCATTTTTATTGCAAATGGAAATCAATCGGAAATGTTTAATACATTTTGAATCTTTACAGTTCACGTGAGACTGTCAACGGATTATAAGAAGAAAATGCACTGTTACAATTTATGTGATATTTTTTGTCTGCGTTTATTGCTGGCATGGGTTTTGGCACAATCTAAACAAAAAAGCAGCTGCTGAGTTTCAGTTAATTGGCACAACTCCCTTTCAGCCAATTAACACTTTCCTTATTATTCTTCTTTCATCTTCAAAAAGTTACGTTCTCTTTGTCTCATCTTCCATCGCTATTAAGAGCTGTTGTCTGTAAGATTCGAGCTATATTAAAAAGGCGCTGCCACACTATCTCACCGAATTGGCTAAAAATTGGCATGTAGACTTGATTTGAGGTCTTTAATAAGGAATGGGTAACTTTAGGTTCTAATTCCTCCTACTTCGGAAATTATCGACATGGCCGGTTTTTGGGTGCCTCGGACCGGCGCCATATTGGTTAATAGAAGCTGCTTTTGCGCCTTCGACTACAACCCTGTCTTCAAAGCTAATCTTCCTCTGCCAATACAGATTGAAAGAACAATCCCTCTTTATTGTATTTTTAGAAACTACTTCGAAATTGATAACGTTTTCGCAACGATCGATTAAACTTTTGGTGGGTATACTTTTTGAATTTTTTACACCCGCAAAATTAACAGAATTTTAAAGGCGTATATCTCTTTTGCCACATCGCATTGAAGCTTGCCAATCTGCCTGAATACTCACTGTTTGTAGTTAAATCGAGTTCATTAATAAAAAAATTGGGCAAATTTAACGAAGCAGAAACAAAAGTAATGAATGGAAGACTGTTCTAGCGACTTTGTCAATAATCTGTACATCGAATACTCGCCAGGTGTTGCCAAAATTACAATCGATAATAGAGTTTCTGTCATTAAATCTGAGTGATCTGTGTAATAAAATTAGCCTCTGTAATATAATCGATAACTCTGCTGCGAAAAACAGTATAAAAAAAGGCAGATTGTATAAGGAAAAGGAAAATGAATTTGTTATGTTTATGCTATGACCCGTAAACAAAATTCAACCATCACAGTCGAACTGGAATTTTCCTGATTTTCCTCCAGTTCCTTTACCGAAACCAGAGCTTTTAAAATTAACCATAGTAATGAAAATTGAGATGTATTACCTTACTCGACGACAAAGTTGCCAGTTTCCACCTTGATCGAAAAAAAAAGTAATATTTTCCCACGCATATCGCGGGTCGTCACGTTCCTTGCCTGGCGTTACAACTCACGTGAAACCGTCTGGTTTCAAACAACTGAACTGAAGAATCCGTGAAAATCTTAGCCAGGCAATAAATAATGGAAGTTGATATAAGTTATCATTATTAGTGAGCGAGGATCGATGCGATGATGGTTCCAGCTACATGTGTTTACAGCGTTTGAAGATTTACTCAAAACTCATGAGACATGAGCCCTTGAAATAAACATCATTACTTCCGGTTTTAAAAATTGGGAGTTGGCAAAGTAATGAATAGACTCATTCTACCTTGTACACCGTTAACAACGGTTCCGTGTACAATTTTCAGGTATTTTGTCTCAATCACGAAGCCCGTTTTGAGTAGATTCTTGATAAACAGAAAAATTGGTTTGGAAGAGGTTAAGAAGAATGAGGGATGAGCCCGGGACAGCAAAAACCACAGTCACCCCACCGAAGGGCTTTAAAACTGTGCGCAAATGCCTCACCCTAGGGACAATTCCAGATTTTTGTTTCCTTGAAAAAGCTTAAAATCGCTAGACAATGCATGGACAACTCCTGACAATCCTAATTCAAAATAAAGTAAACAGCAAAGAAAATTCAGTTGGAGACCAGAGTGTTTATCCGATATCGCGAACAATAAGGAGTGATTGAAGATGTGTCCGCAGATTAAGGTAAAATCATTTACCATGCTCACGGACCTTTCGACAACATAAGTGTACCGATTGACGTAATATCAGTGGTAAAAAACGAACGCTTTTTACTGTAGGACGATGACGTCATCATACAAAAGGCGTCTTCACTCTGGTATCCAGAATTTCAAACAGTCAAAACCTAGTAATTTTCTCTGCTCGTCAAATGAAAAACGCCTCTGAGGGCAAGTAGTGGTAATGTGCTTGTTATTAAGACGTCCAACATAAGGAGACATTCATAATCAACTCGGTTAATGCATTGATAAAGGGAAACTTTCTCCTTTACCCTTAGGGACAGAGTTCAAAGGCGCAAAAGTTTTTAGTTCAGCTCTAGCATGTGTTGTCTAGCGATTTGCCTTGAGCTTCTCTAAATTTTCCAGATCAAAAAAGCTGTGCCCATCGTACATAATCTTGTCTGGGCTCCCCTTGAAAAATTGCAATTCATCAGATGCCTTCAAGTTCATCCTCCGCCGCGACAACTTTGTGATCTATTTTAATGGGTGGTTTTCTGGAACTATCCTATGGCTTGTCCTTTCTGGTCGTCACTATATTAGCGAACATGTTTCAATTTCTCTCCAGCAAAAGTCTCTATCAGGAGCGTAGCCAGGACATTCCAGGTGTGCGGAAAAATTCCAAAACTTACCCTAACATCTTACTCAGTTCTCTCGCAACGTTTCCACACTACATTTGCTAATTCTGTTAACTAGGTGAGGTTGTGCGTGGATGAAATGGCACTTGCAATCGGTGAGAAAATTAGGTTAGACACTTTACCCTCAAGGACGACTCTCACGTTTTGCTGACACTTTCTACCTTAGAAGAGATAAGTGAAGCTTTGCCTTCCCCACTCCGTGTAAAAAAATGTCGTTCGGCTGTTCAAACTACTTTTAGAGGACAACAAACTTCCCAACTTTAATTTTTAATAAAGGTATAAGGGTAGGAATCCAAATTGTTTTGGAGTATTTCACTGATTTTAACACGATGATTGTAAAGCCTGAGTGTCTAGTGAGTACGGGGGCTAATGACCCATCGTAAAAATCTGAAATTGAAAACAAAAATCTTGTATAACCGAGTAGTACACAATTTTAGTTATTTTATTGAGTTGTGAAAAATCACAAATTTGTTTCTTCTTGAATGTGTTATACTCTCATCCATTCAGTCTTTCCGACATGCCCGTCGGATAGCGGAAGTTAACGTAAATGATCGATTACCTGAAATGAAGCTACCATCCTAACTTTCCACCTTCGGGTCTTTTCCCTAGCCATAATTTTTTTCCCTCAAGGAATTTTTCTCTGTTTTACATAATAATTGGTCTTGCATTCAGCTTATTGATTTTGAGAGCCTAGTACTATGCCGTATTCTGATGCGATCTACTTTATGCAGCTTTCCCCCCATCTAACAGCTCCTTACTGAACAAAAACGGCTTTAATTGAGTCTATTCAAAGAACTAGCCAATATTTTTGCAGGGGTAAGCACAATGTTCCTAATTCCCCCTAGTCCCCTTCTTAGACGCTTTCATGTGCATCAGGTGTTAAATTTTCTTTTCATAAGCTACAATGCTCATAATCGCGCATTCTGATGTCATTTATGCTTAAAAAATTAAAAATTAGTTTATCGAAGAAAGAGTGAATTAAAGGTGTCATGAGGCGTTTGTGATTTCATGAACTATTTGACGCGGTCCTTTTCTTACGGCTTATGTCCGTTGGTGAAATCGCTACTTGGGTTTTCTTGGATTGAAAAGGGCGGACTCTTTCTAAACGTGGCGTTGTTTATGGGACCTTAGTATTCAGAACAGAATCAGTGGATGGCAAACAACGAAAAGGCTTTAATGTGGTAAGTTACAGTGATGAACCTTGCCTCGAGATGGTCATATTTTTTGTACATACCTTCATGCAATTCAGTGTTGGTCTGAAAATTTTTGTTATGGATGGGGGAAGGGGGGGGGAGAGATCAGAACATGTACCTCGTGTTGTTTACGAGACATTAAAGTAATGAAAACTGTTAAACAGTCTTCTACAAATCAAAATAGTTGCAAATGCTTACGGGAGGCCCTAACTATATGATGATAAGAAGGGCTATATTTGGAAAGGTGCATGGTCGTGGAGTTAAGGAGATTTGACTAATCAACCAATTTCCGGCTAAACATAAGGGCGTGACCAGTGGCCCCAAAATTGTGTTCGCTCGCCCCGGGCTGGCTCGACTTTTGGGATACGGTTATGGGGTTATAAACAATGAGTTCATCATCTATATAGCCTACTCGCCCCACGTGACTGCATTTCGCTTTTCAGAGACCCATCAGTTACTGTATGACCCTCTCCGATCAGATTTTATGTCCGTGGTACTGGTGGTGAGGTCAGTCTACAAGCAGAGTCGTGAAAAACAACGCCACTTGAGCCTTTACGTTCAAAACATTCCTGGCTATCGGGAAAAAAAGAAGGAGCTTTTAAAAATACTAAATAAAATGTCATTTCAAATATCACTTTGTCACCGTTCGAAAATTATTGTGAATCAGACCGAATGAAAGTTCACTCAAAGAGGGGGAGGGGGGAGGGGGGTTGGTAGTTCTAAACAGTTCCAGTTAGCTAGAAAATTAAAAGTTACGAAAAAATAGTGGGCGAACTGCAGAATACATGCAAGAATGAGAAAGAAAATAGAAAACAACTTCCTGTTCAAATTCGGGGGAAAGGTTTAATAGCGTCAATAAGACTGAACTTGATTGAGGTTGTTCATTTCAGTTCCGTTCCAGCGTGCAGTTCGTTGTCCTCCTAAAAATAGCTTCGTCTCCCACCGATCATTCCATGCCATATTTTGCGGACTTATTATTCAGTAATGACGGTACGATCAGGTAATTTGACTTGATGAGGTCTTTAATTTCATTTCATGTACTAGTTTTATATCTTACGCTGGAAAGATCTGTCAAACAGTGTACATTAGCAAAGGTATGTTCCTGTTTACACGTGTAATTATCGAATACCATACAATTTGCATAAAGCTACAGTGCACGGTTGGTTTTTCTAGCCTTTTGATTAAAATTGACAACGTTTGCGTTACCTTTGCCTAAGAAAATATGTAATTTGTAGCTGTATACAGCGAAATACTACAGAGAAAATAGTATCTGTGCAGTACACGAGCGGCTCCCGATTGGTCTGGGAAGTCGAAGAGCGAACTTGAGCTAGTATCGTGTGTAACAAAATTTATAATTTTCATTTCAGCGCCTATTTCAAGCTCTTCGCAAGATCAGAATCAAAAGATCATCTGTTTACATTTCAAGGGAGGGTTTTTTAAGCGATAGATAGGGTTTAAGAGGCACGATCAATTTTTAAAGAATTTTCTTTTCAAATATTCACCGAATTTTGTTTTGAAGTTTTAGCGGCCAAGTGGCTAAACCACTGCGCATTCATGCAATCATATTTCTGTTCCGTTGCATTTGCCCAATTATTTTATTCAACAATCTAACTTAGCTATAAACAAACTATGTTTAGTTAAAATGGCTTAGTCTAAATCGATGTGGCATGGGTGATATTGGCCTTCCAATTTCTACCAAATTTGTGTACCGTTTAAGTACCGAAAAAGTGCTGTGAGAAGTTATAGCCGTTCGTAGCTCAGGCTTAACCATTTTCAGATAAGAGCAGGTAAATGAAAGGAGGAAGGATAGTTCTTTGCAACTGTATGAGTCACGATTAAGTTATTTTAATGATAAGGCTAGAATTAATTACTGTAGATCTCCTTCAGTTCACCAACATGGCCGCCGCTCGAGGCCTCGTCAAAACTGTCATTCCTGTATCTCTGAAACCAACGAGAATTCGAACCTTAGAATATGCATTCAGTATTTAGGACACCATTCTAAGACTACATGCCAAAAATCAGCCAAATCGATGAGGTACCGTGTCAGGCCGAAGTTCGAATTTTACAGAAAATCACTCTTAAAGTTTATAATTTTTGTTTCGTTTAGGGAAAGTTCATTTAATATGACAAGGGGGGATGAAGATATTGAAACTCGAAGCTTGAAATTTTAGCAGCCCCCCTCACTAGCGGTTCAATTTTTAGGAGCCCCCTCCTTGGTAGTCGAAAAAATTCAGAGCCCCCCCCTCCTCCTTCAATTCCTTTGCTCCCCTGAAAAAAGATCGCTAGACTGTATTAAATATATTTACCATTATTGTCTTCAATGGTTTATACTATGACAAACTTGAGATACAGTTGTGATACAATTTTCTAAAGCATTTTTAGGATGAACAAGAGTGTAATGATTACTGAGACTACATTTGTTATATCTGTAAACCACGTGATATAGCTGAGTTGCACAGGTCATTACAGTCAAACCAGGTGAAGCGTTCCCGTTGCTAACGAACTAATAAATTCATTAACGGAAAAATGATTTCGTTTGTTGATTCAATAATCCATTCATAAAATGAACAATCCCATATTCATATTTAGCCTCGATTCCATAATCGAATGTTGATTCGATTACTGTTTTTAGAAAAACTACACTTTTTTTCTCCTTTTTTTCTTAGAGTCGAGTTCGGGCGAGTTCTGAATTTCAAACCCAAACAAACTGTTACATGTACGTCATTTTGTTTCCAGTATTCACTGCAACGGACCTGACCTCTTAGGAAACACGATAGTGAAACTAAGGTCAGTGTATGTGCGGTGATTGGTGGATTTCGATCCCCGGCCTTTGTCAGTTTCTTTGCGTTTGCGGTCTGTCTCTTCTAGCTGTTATTTTGATTAAAGGCAATTACAAACGCAATCGTAAACGGCAGGAAAAGGGAAGCAAATACGAATAATTTCTTATCGTTATAGGGTTAAGGGTATTGTTTGGGTCCTTTGACTATTTTTTCGTGAGTCCGCTGACAGCCTTGGTTGTAAACTTAGTAATCTTATTTGTATTGTGATTCTCACACCGTAAAGAGGGGTACAAAGAATCCTTTGCATTCGGGCCGTGGTGTGAAAAAAAGGCGGGACACGGGGGATAGGGCCGGGCACACGTAAGTTGGCTAGCTCTTTACAAGGTGTTTACTAGTCGATTATTTCACAACAGTCTGTTGATCAATTTAAATGCCCCCACTGCACAGATCTTAGTCCTTCTACAGTTAGATGACCCTGTCGGTCATTTCCTCTCCGCCATCGTTGTTCTGTTCACTATCCTCAACGCTTCCCGTTCTTCGAAAACGCTCTCTCAGTTTTGTATACAGTTTCTCGTATTCGTGACTCTTGACGATGGAGTTAATCACGTTGGACATGGCAGCTAAACCTAGAATGACCATAGTGACACGATAGGCCATATGTGTTTTGTGTCTTGAATTGGATCTTGAATGACCAGGAATCAGATCACCGAACCCAACAGTCGTAAACGTGATGAAGTAGGCATAAACACCTTCCAGAAATGTCCATTCGTCGATTTTCGTTTGGATTCCTGCGCCTACGAGTAAGAAAATCAGCAACAACAGGAAACCTAAAAAAGCGCATTTTTCGTTTAAGAACTTTGGTGTGCTTTCTTTCTTTAGGCAGCCTTTTTCGAATCTTGTGATGAGGATTTGTTGACCATTAAGCATTAATTCTCCAACCACTTGTAAAAAGAGAATGTTTATCGGGATGCCGAAGAGAGCGTAAAAGATGCAAAGAATACGTCCAGCTGATGTCACTGGTGTGATGTTTCCATAACCTGGAAAATAATCACAGGACGGTTAAGTTAATGGCCCGGCCAGAAGGCGATCGAGTCCAGTAACCCCTTATTCTACAGACTATAGCCTTGATAATGCGACCACCCCACCACCCTGTCACTGGACGCTCATTAGGCTGCAACCTCGTTTCCAGGTTCTCTCTCTTATCCTACTCTCTCTCGCTCCATAGGGACGGAGATTGATTAGGCTGGAGCTTTATTTCTGTAACATGAAACGACCACAAATGTTTCTTCTCCCCTCTGGCCTGGATGAGATGCCAGAACCTCGTACCCCCAGCAATTTATCGCCGGTACTCACTGCCGCTGGGTGAAGTGAGCGGGCGTCTTAGGGTAAAGCGTCTTTTGGATTCCCAGGGTGCCAGGGTAGTCATAATTCTGAATTTGCACACTATTTACAACTATGTAACAGCCACAACCAAGCGTTTACATGGTTGATGGTCATTATTTAAACTTGCAATCACAAACTAAGGTTTAGTATCATAAAAGTGACGCTACCTTAAATACGATCACGACCCAGTTAATGCGGCGACTAGTATGTAATCCCGGGGGTACTTGGGTTAATGTTTGCTGGGTATGTGCCGCTGGCCCCTTAGAGCCCCTACCCCATTATAGTCTTTTTTTTGGCCAATTATAGACCCCATCTTAGTCACTTTTTGGAAAATGTCATTTTCGCGATCCCAACTTAGTCACTTTCTATTTATGCATCCTGACCTTATCAATGTGGTTTCAAGCGGCGGAATGTAATGCGATCAGTGCGAGCTTATAGTTAAATTTAATAAACAACAACTTTCTGATTTTATAACCAAAAATCTTCCCATTTTGAATCCCTCCTTACCCCCAAAACCCTAAAATTTGCGACCCCATTCTAGTAAATCTATTGAAAATGCGACCCCATTATAGTCACTCCAGTCGTTAAAATGCGACCCCATCCAGCGGCACATCCCCATTAGCCTCTTGTAAGGGAGTACCCCCCCCCCCCGGGTATGTAATGCATCAGTCAATTCCCTTTGCCAACCCCGAGGCCATTCTCGAGCTTTTGACACGCACGCGATTTCCTATCAGAATATAACTACACAGAAGGTTTTACTGAAAAAAAAAGCAGATTGGCTCATCTGTCAAGGACAGGAATAAATTGAAGAGGGATGTAAAAGGCATGTTCTCGATTTTATGCATGCAAGTCTTCATTGCTTATCAAGCCAGAATAACATTGCGAAATTGGAGCTATGGATGTTGATCAAAATCTTTTGGTTATTGAATCAATTTTTGTTGATATCATTTGAAGAACATCCTTTCATATTCATAAAACTACTCATAACATATAACTTTACAGCGCTCTATTAATTTTTATAATGTCAATAATTTCATATCAATACTAAAACCATAAACTGGTGCATGTCGTCGCGGCGTGAAGTCTTAATTAGAATCCTCGCGCTATTACAAAGGAAGACGTTAATTGAAACCAAAAATCGAACATTAAATGCTTAAAATGGCACTATTCGACTGTGCGATCAATGAAAACTGTTGCAGTGTTGACGGAGGATGGGGCATTTGCCCTCTTTTTTCGTCCCCATCCCGGGGGATTTGACAGCTCAAGAGTCCCCACCCCCGGGAATTTGCCATCCAAAAAAATGCTAATGCCCGGAGGTCAGCCCCGGAGGGGGGGTCAATGGCAGGTGGAACTGACTGATGCATAATTACGGGTTATTTGCATGCTTTCAGCTGGGCGGGATTTTGCGATTATTAAGGATTAGAGATCTATCACCCCTCATATCAATCAAACAAAACGCACGCGCAACACAAGCGTCTCTTTAGCGCCAGGCTTACTGCTAGCAGAAGTGATCGGCAATTATTTATCACCTCTTCGCACTGCCTTGTTACTTTGGGAAAGAGTTAACAGAAGCCTACGCGTACTAGAGCTCCCGATAAGAGGTGGGTGCTTGATACGGGGCGGTGGGAAAGGGAGAACGAGAAGTCTACCTCTCTTGCCGTTATCAACCCCCACCACCACCACCACATATCGCCTCTTAAAAGCAGGGAGTGGGGAGGACACGTTTTACCGAGAACCGCTTCCGTCTCGCGTCCCTATTGCACGCGTACTCATTTTCTTTTCGCGCGAACTTCGCTTGACGGGCTAAGCAAGAACAGGGGCTGCTCTTGGTCTATTTTATTAGTTTTTGCACTCAAATCCATATCGCGCGGACCTACGTATAACTTGGGCGTTTATAATGGAGTAATTGTGTATATATGGCACTCAAATGATTTGCAAACAACACGTACCATGCACAAGATGACCATGTAAACATTGTTCGCTGAGCTGACTATATTAAAATATTAAAATACCCTTAACTGAGTAAAACAATATAGCGCCAAGAATTGGTTGATAAAATCGTATTCTCTAAAATGAGAAATAATTGAATTCAGTACTTGTGGGGAAGTAACATGTAATTTTATAGCTGGATTATCTAACAGGAGAGTGGGTGACCTTTTCAAGCTAGAAAGTCTTTATATATATTAGATTCGCAGTCTTACCAATTGTTGTTAGCAGTTGAAGAATGAAGGACAGCGTGTTTTTATAGTTCCATTCAGGTCCAGCACTTGACGAGTTTGCGTGCTGGATTTGCCAAACAAGGTCGTCAAATTCATCCTCGCTCATATTGTAATTCTTTGTAACATCTTCCTTCAGTTTTTTAAGCCGAAGCCCTGCATTTGACTTTTCGGTACTCCCACTATCGCCTTCAACAGCTTTGAACATAAACACACCAATAGTGATGTAAATCAGCCAGGTTAAAAACAAGACTAAAAGTTTGTAAGCTTTTCCCGACATGGCGATGGCTGCCCGGGATGGAGCGATCACAACTGCTCGGCCACAGGTAATCTGTTGCTATGACAATGTCAACATAATTGCCACCGTCTTTTTATATACCTCGCCGCGATCAGGGCCAAAGGATCACATTTGAACAGCTTAATGAAAGCAAAATTGCCGGATGTTTTCCTACAAAATAATCATCCCATTTTTATTGCAAATGGAAATCAATCGGAAATGTTTAATACATTTTGAATCTTTACAGTTCACGTGAGACTGTCAACGGATTATAACAAGAAAATGCACTGTTACAATTTATGTGATATTTTTTGTCTGCGTTTATTGCTGGCATGGGTTTTGGCACAATCTAAACAAAAAAGCAGCTGCTGAGTTTCAGTTAATTGGCACAACTCCCTTTCAGCCAATTAACACTTTCCTTATTATTCGTCTTTCATCTTCAAAAAGTTACATTCTCTTTGTCTCATCTTCCATCGTTTCGTTTAACCAAATATGCCAAAAAATATCTATTTTTGTAGCCCCGGAAAATAAAACCAGACGTGTAAAAGTTATGGCGACGAGTGTTTTTGCATATGTTCTTATAACCAGTAATAAAAAAACGTTATTAATATATCAAACGAATTCGACCGGTATTTTCATTAATCAAGGCAAGAGAGGACAAGACATGACAGTATTTATTTGGAGTCTTCAACTTCAGCAAAACCTGAAATCACAAAATAAGTTAGCTGTCACTTGGAGTTATAGTTACACAGCGAAGAATATATAAATAATTAAACATAGGTATACATGGTTTTTTGCTATTAAGATTATTTTTCTTTTCTTATCATCAACGAAACAAATCATACTTTGCTCTTTATTTTTTGAGTTGTGCATTTTCCACGGGGGATATATTAAAAATATTTATTAATCAACTTGTTCTGAAGTTTGTTTATCTCCACATCAATGGCATACTTGAACAGGTTCTAGAATAACATGGAAATCATTTCTAAATGGTTAAGAAATTTTTAAAAATTTCTTATCAGAGCGGACGACAACCAAGAAATACCGTAAATTGAAACTTACACTAGGGTGTCAATTGCGTGCTTGGCTTTAAAAGTCGTTGAATAAATATCAATGCCTCGGGCGCCCATATTGCCTCACTTGCATATAAATTTATAGAGAAAACAGGGGCACCTGTTCGGAAGACGATTTGAGATCTAGAATTTTCGGAACATTTGTTGTAAAATTTCTTGCTTGCCTGCCTCTCCTAGGATTTTTGAACATCTAAAAAATGGTATAATTGCCCATTTTTAACGGATTTTTACCGTTAAAAGGTCACCTAGAATTTTCGGGAGCCTTTTTCTGGCTCAAATTTTCGAAAAGGTAAGTTTTCATCCCTATAATTCTCGGATCACTCGACTTTCAGCCAGGGAATCCGAACAGATGAAAAATTTTTAGGGGATAAAAATATGCCTATATCCACCGTTTAAATACTAAAATACGTTTAACAATGCTATGTTTAAGTGGTTTTGAACTATATTCTCGTTGGGTGCCCCTGAGAAAACACGTGCTAAATATGAATTGAAAAAGATTGTCAACGCCAGGGGCAACGCAGTCTGTACATTATTTAAGTTTTTTGTCAAAAAGACTATATCAGCTATCAGATCAGAAAATAAAATGCAAATTGTCTGAGTGCCAAAAGTGTTTACCAGCATTACATATTCATTGTAAATTAAATTTCAAGTGCATTATTTTTACTGTCGTACTTCACAAGGAATAGCTCATTCGTCTATCGCTGCTTTATTGGATTCACATTTTCTGAAAAAAACACTGTTGTAATATGTGCTTGAATATTTTCAAAATAATACGTTAGTAACTTAAGGCCATCCCCCTTTTTTTTCGTTTAACGTCGAATGCGTTTCCTGATGTTGGGTCGGTCGGTCGGATTGAAAAAAACAAAATTCACAAGAATTCTTGGAATAGGATGCCTTGGTACCCCAGGACGACGCTAAAAGTTAACATTCACATATTTGGATGAACAAAATACACGATATACTGTAAAGAATGTTCGTGTTTTTGTTCCTGTTTTTCTCTATGCTGTTACTATTCTCATTTTTCAGATTAAAAGAATTATTTCCAATGAAAAATGGTTTAACTAAATCGTTACTTTTTTTTTTCGAAAACGCCCAAAAATTTGAGTCGGTCGGACGACGCTAAACGGAGAAAAAAAAGAGGATGGCCTAATCAACAAATAGGGCTTTTTCTTGTCCGAAATATTCAACGTGGAGGTATAACACTTTGTAAGGCTTTGATAAAAGCAAAGAAACTTAACAACGTCTCAGGAACTCGTAGAAGACTGATCATGATCAGTTCTTCAATTTGCAGCTTCGCTCGGTCGTGAAAGCAAACTAACGAGCCATGACTGTTTTGGGCTGTGCCGCGAAGATGATACCAGTCACTGGTCTGCCTGTGCTGAACTGTCCAAAATTAAAGCATTCTTCAGGAGTTCCTATTGTAAATTTTTTTGTCTGGTTCACTTTGCATTCATACGAAAAGAGCATTGCATCACTGGTCTACAACACGTCATTTTAGAGCGGAACAATGACGAGGAAGGCCATTTCAGAATTCCAAAAACCCTCACTTTCAATCAGATGCGAGGGAAGCCAAGTGCAAAACCTTTCTTCACCTCATTTAAAAAGAGGCTTGGTAGGGCAAGCTCGTCTAGATCTTAGTCCTTCGTCTATCTTGGCTTTGTCTGTTGTTAGCAAAGTTGGGGGAATTTTTTGGTTGTTTTTTATATCTAATTTTTCGGGAAACCAACGGCAGCTCCTGTTAGAGGCTAATGATTTCATTCCAAACAGTGCACTCCAAGCGACGCCTTCCCGTGATACCATTCGCGCCTCGTAAAAGCGAGGTGGTACACTGTAGAGGGAAGCTGGGAGACACACAAAAGCCAACGGGCTTTTTACACAAAATCGCAATATTATTGAAAACACACACGTTAAACAGATTTTCGTCTTTCTAGACTATGGGGGCCTTTTCGATCATTTCCTCTCCACCATTTTCGTTCTGCTCGCTGACTTCAACGCTTCTTGTTCTTCTAAAACGCTCTTTCAATTTTTTAAATAGTTTTGCAGAATCTTCACACTTAACGATGGAGTTAATTACGTTGGACATGGCAGCTAGACCTAGGATGACTGAAAATGACACGATACGCCATATGCGCTTTGTTTCCGGACTCATGACCAGGAATCAGATCTCCAAACCCAACTGTGGTAAACGTGATAAAGTAGGCATAAAAACCTTCCAGAAATGTCCACTCTTGAATGCTCATTTGAATCCCTGCGCCCACTAGCAAAAGAGTCAATAACAACAGGACTCCTAGAAAAGTGCATTTTTCGTTTAAGAACTTTGGTTTGCCGTCAATTTTTAGGCAGCCTTTTTCGAATCTTGTGATGAGGATTTGTTGACCATTAAGCATTAATTCTCCAACCACTTGTAAAAAGAGAATGTTTATCGGGATGCCGAATAGTGCAGTTATTGTAAAAAAGTAGATGGTTAAACTGCCAAGATGGATTTTAGACTGGTAAATATCTAACTTTAAGCTGCGCCTCAGTGGTAGAGCAGAAGGAACGATGGTCAAGTCGTTATAAGCATTGTCACAGACGTTGTGCTCCTCCTGTGAGATATCAAAATAATAATCTTTCTCCCGAGTAGTCTGTGTCACTAATGTTTATTTCATCTTTATCAGATGTTTTAAAGTTCAGTAATTTGATGTCAAGATTGAAAATTCTACTCACTGCCTTAAACTAGGATGAACAAGATCAAAGACAGTGAGTTTATTTTAAAAGCGAAGAAGTTGAGAGAAATGCCCAAATAACAATATTTCATGTTCTCCAGCAGAAGGCAAAAAGTTGTATTAAAAATTTAGTTAAAATGCAGTTGCATCTCTTGTCTGGCAATCTCCTTCCTTCACTTGGTCCTACTCCTTACTTTGAGCAGCACTAACTAAGCATGTGATATGTAAAGGACCAAAAAATGAGAGCCTTCCTTTATTATATTATCATAATGGCTGTCAAAAAAATTGTGGTACATTGCCTTCTGCAGCCTCTCAGTAAAAATTGATAGTCTACTTTATTTCTTAATTATTTTTATGCCAATGATCAAAAGCAGAAGTAAAAGTTCTCCGCAAAAACACGTAGACAAAGTGACTTTTCAGAAATAAAGCAATCAATAGCAAGGAATTCAAAGGCAGGGTTTTAATCTTTAATGAGAAAAAATTCTTTATTTTTTTTAAACTTTGCAGGCAATTATCCTTCTTCAGTTGCTTGGCTGGGTTTTTTTGCCTGTCTATATAGCTGGAGGGGTGAGTATGGACTAGCTGAGCTTAGTTTTCAGCTACAAAATTAACCCACGTTTTATGTAATAATGACCTGGTGTCTGAGCTTTAAAACTGGGTGGGGTGGGATGGGGTGGGTTGGCAACTGCCACGCCCCTACTCAAATGATTCTGTTTTAGCAAAGTATAATGTAAACCAGGTAGTCACTAAGGCTAATTTTTACAAACATTGGAGTCAGAGTCACAGTCAGAAGTGCAGCAGTCTAGAGCATTACAATGATCTATTGAGGAAGACAGCATTCTAATTCTGTTAAGAATCTAGTAAGAGGTAGCTTGTTGGATCCTTGACAAGTAGAAGCAGAAGCAGAAGAACTGTACTAATTAAAAATTACCTATCACAGTTTGTTGAAAACATTGTGATGTTGGTTTATTCCTTTGCTTGTGCTTCTAAATCAGGCAATGTCAGTGGTTTTCGTTAGATTGTAAGCTACAGAGGCAGAAGAAAAAGCTCTGATTCTTGTCACTCCAGTTGCATCTAAGTCCAGCTGTTTATTTTCACTAGATCATAACTTAATAAGAATTATGAACTGACTCCGTTGATAGTGAAAACAAGCCTTAAGTTGAGTATTAAGTTTCTGATGGTGCTGACTTGAATCTGTCTGTTAATTCTCAAAATTGTATAGCAATATTTTTTCCTTTTCTTTTTGTAGATTTGCACCTTACCAGAATACATTTCTCGTCGCTATGGTGGCAAGAGGCTGAGAATGTGGCTGTCTGTTGTTTCCCTTTTACTGTACATCTTCACTAAAATATCTGTAAGTTGGCATTCCACAGTACCAACAATACAGTCAACTGCCTCTGAATGGACACCTCCATAAGACAGAATTCTGTAAAATGGATACCTAGAGTTGGTTCCTGCCTTTCTGTATTCCCTTTATATGATTCTCTTTAAGACAGACATCTCTCTAAGACGGACACTTTTAAGTGCCAACCCCAGAGGTGTCCGTGCTGGGCAGATCAGAGTTGACTGTAAAACTGAGGATAAAAACTGAAGCAAAGATTATCTCTTATTTGGGTTGGTTTGAGTGAAACTAAAGCTGTTTTGTATCTTACGTCAGGTCAATTTATTTTCTGGGGCATTGTTTATTCGATTGGCTCTTGGATGGAACCTGTACCTGGCCATTTTGTTGATGCTTGGAATGACCTGCCTCTGTACAATTACTGGTGAGTTAAATTTTCCTTCTATGGTTTGTTTCAAGTGTTTCCTCCAGAACCTTAACAGGTGGTATGTCTTTAGTTAAAGCTACATTATTAAAACAGCAACAAAAATGTGCAACTGCAGAACGAGTTGAAAATCCTTGTTCAAACTTGTCTTGTGACAAATCATGTTGTTGCAAGAATACTGACTTCTGATGGGATAAAATTATGAGGGGGCATGCCATACACTAGCCTGTACACAGACGTTGCTTTATTTTTCTTTTTGATAATCAGCGAGTGTGTGAGAGTGAACGCGAAGCGCAACAATGAGCATGGAGTACAAGAAAGAAAAATAAAGAACGTCTGTAGCCATCTTTGGGAAAAAGAGGTTTATTAAGTCCCTCCCCCACATGTCAACACCTTATCGTTATCACCTCTGCGTTTGAAGTAACCAATTAAATTGGACCAATGATCATTGATATCAATGGATAACTTGCATTATGGAATCATATCATACATCAAACATTCAAATTTTACTTCGGGGTGGCAGCATGCTGATGGCTATTTTTGAATAAATGGCTTGAAAAACACTGTCAACACCAATTCAAAGTAGACAGACTGCAAATTATAGTAGTTGCTAAAAAAATATATCTACGTGTCTCAACTGTTCTTCAGTAGGATGCCTAAAATGCGTGCAATTCCACAAGTGGTTTCGGCTCCATTAAATCCTATACCTGCAATTGCAGAACATTTTAGGAGGAGCCACCCACCGTGTGTTATATTTCTCTTTTCAGGTGGATTAACAGCAGTTATTTACACAGACACACTTTGTACTTTTCTGATGGTTGTAGGATCACTCACAGTTATGGGAATTGGTAATGATTTTGTTTTTTTTTTGTTTTGCAATAAAATGAAACAGAAATCCTAGCATTAATTTTTTGCTCACCGTTTTAAAATCAGCCGTGAACTAAATAACTTCCACTAATGTTTACTAGCTTGTTACAGCAGAAAAGAAAGGTAAATGCTCTTGAAAATTTTTGTGTTGAGAAGTGATACATTGATATGTTGAAAATTAAGACTGTGCAATAATTAATATACTGAGTGTCTGTGTTCTTCTGGGTGAGCCCATCAGTTGAGTGAAGGTTTCATGAGCTGCTTTATCAGCTTTTTTGTCTGAAAAGATGTGCAACTAATTAAAAGAAACCTACTTTTTCAAGAGGCCTTCCACCTCTGCGGTAAGACCAAACTAAGCAGAGAAGTTATAACTACTTCAGTAGTAAATATATGAAACCATACTCACAAAGCTTTGCCTGTGGATTGAAAAATTATTTCAAGCCCTGTAGTACAGTCAACTCTCTCTAAGACGGACACCTTTGGGACCGGCACTAGCTGTCCATCTAAGAGAGATGTCCGTCTTATAGAAAGTCAAATAGAGGGAGTAAAGAAAGGCAGAGAGTAACTCTAGGTGTCCGTTTTACAGAGGTGTCCATCTTATAGAGGTGTCCGTTAAGATAGAGTCGACTGTAGTGTTTGTTTTAATGTTGCTACACCTTTTTTCTAATGCTACATTGAAAATGCAGGGTGTGTTCCATTGGGATGATTCAAATTGGGATCAGTGATCCAAGATCCCTTGGATCATAGCATGTCAAAGGAACCAATAAATTAATCTACCCTGACAAAGAATTCATTGCTGGCCATGGGTTCATTTGATGTACCATGAGCAGAGTGATCAGATCCTAATCTGGATCATCCCAAGGGAATGAACCGGTACAAAGAGCACTGCTCTGATTTTTTTTGCTGTAACAGGATTTTCTGAAGTTGGTGGTTATGAAGGACTGAAAGACAAATACATGATGGCAGTGTCAAATGATACTCTGTACTCAAACAGTAGCTGTGGTCGGCCCAGAGAAGACTCATTTGTGATGTTGCGTGATCCTATCAACTCCGACATGCCTTGGGCAGGGTTCATTTTTGGTCAAACAATTGCTTCAATTTGGTATTGGTGTGCTGATCAGGTCAGTTTTGTACCATTCGGTCAAATATTTTACATGAACTCAAATTTACATTTTTGCCTTGTATTATTTAATGATATTTCCCAAAATACCATATTATTCTTTTACAATGATTTTATTGGTGCTGAAAGGATTTGGCTGGTGTTACATTTGTAGGTAAAAACCAAGGTTTTAATACCATGGTGTCATTCCAGAAAACATTTTACCCCCTCCCGAGGTTTTTTCCAGGTTAAGACTCCCCTTCCCCCATTCTGTAAAATCCTGCCCATAAAGCATCCAATCAGAATGCACCATTCAGCCTGGAGAAGTGCTTGCTATAATATGTCTGTTACTTGACCCTAGGTTATTGTTCAGAGAGCTCTTGCTGCCAAGAGTTTGTCTCATGCTCAGGGAGGCTGTCTGTTAGCTGGTTACATTAAAGTCCTACCACTTTTTACTTTGGTGATGCCAGGGATGATCAGCCGAGTTTTGTCTCCAGGTAAGGCAGTGAAGAGTCATGGGAGAAGAATTATAACATGACAACATTCAAAGAGATAATAGAGACAGGGGACTCCTCATGATCAATGGAAGTGGGCAAAGGACAAGGGAATTCTTATATGAAATGATGAAAGTTGGAATAGGACAGAGAATTTCCCAGAATGAAATTATAGCTGCAGTACAATGTGTAGGCAAAAGTCAGGGCAATCCCCTTTGTGTGATGGAATTGGGAAAAGGTAACTGGAATCCCCATAGTACGATGGGAGTGGGCAAAGGACACCAGAATCCCTGCGCAGCTATGACAAAACTGGGGAACTGACAGGAAATTTCCCCAAACTAAGAAGGAAGTAGGCAAAGGAAGTAGAGGAAAGATGTCCTAGTTGGTGGCTTTGGAGGTGTGGTTATCAACAAAAAAGGAAAACAGCCCAATTTACTTGAGTTGGGCTTGCATTGTCAGGTTTGGGGTGTAGTTTATGATGGGATGGGAATTGTTAGTGTAAAAAACAAACAAAAAATCCCAGATTATTTATCTGTAGAGAACGACATCTAGCTCTGTCTATCTCAATATAATAGTTATGTTTTTCCTTTCTTTTTGAAAGGCCACATCTTCAATGCCGTTAGAGAACATTGAACAGGATAATGATACAGAGTGCATACAGACTTGTGCCACCACAACTGCCACCTGTAATGTAGCACTCCCAGAAGTTAAGCTTTTAGCGACCACAATCCTTCTCTCCAGGTTGCTATTTTGTATTTGTGGCATGTTTGTAGCCAGCATTCATTTGAACTTCCCCTAAACGAGAATGCGTAGAATACTGCATCTGATCATGTGTGTTAAGACCTTTTATTATTTATTATCTGATCACGCTTCTTTTGACCTTCTATCACATGAAATTTACGCAAAGCACTGCACTGGAGCAAAAGAATTTTGACCTTCGCACTCCCTAACCATTGTTATTACAAGTATGATTTTTATGCCCCTCTCATCTAAAACTAAGGTAGTACCCGAGGTCCAGCCAGAAGGTACCCTGGAAGTCTATAGTTATGAATTTTGTCTTTCCTTGGTGACAGACCGAGTTGCTTGCAGTGTCCCAGAGAAATGTATGGAAATTTGTGGCAGTGAAGTTGGTTGTACCAACATTGCATATCCGGAGCTTGTTCTAAAACTGATGCCAACAGGTGAGAAATACCAGCCCCTCTGTATAGTTTACTGTTGTGCATACGTGTAGCTACCTTAGTCATGACTGAAAACACAAAATGCCTCCACTGCCCGGTCTTTCAGATATTCACTACATTGTCGCCCTCAATTGTCATTCGTAAACAGAACATTCTATGGTGTAAATAACATGTTGCAAATAATAAACGTAAGGAGACAAATGGGATCATAAAAAATACAACTATACATATTCATTCCTTTCCCTCTGCGATTACTGTTTTCTAACATTTAAAATTCTACGGACATGAATCGTGTTGTATTGGTAGAATTATTGTTCATGAAATTGAACAACAGGGTGATGTTGGGTTTATAAGAAAATCAATCCTCAATTCATGTACAGTGCACTTGACTTGCTGAAAGCATAAATAAATGGGTGGAGGGGAGGGGAGGGTTGAATGCATTATCAGGACCAATTTGTGAAATTGTTAAACTCATTTGGTCAAGGAAATTTAACAATTGTCAAGAAAAGTCGTGGAATCTCAGCAACTTCTGGCTGTCACGACCATGTTTAAATACAACCTTGATATTACAAAAAAAAACTTGAACAGGTCTAAAAAAGTGATTGCATTTAGTGTTTAGTGTAAGAACAAAAACTCTGAATGGTTAGCTCAATTAGTCGGGTAACAGACTTAAAAACTGTAGGCTCATGCAGGTTTGATTCCTGCTGAACCATTACTTTCAAGGTTTTAAGAAATAAGGGGACATCGGTGGACAGTTAACAGTGGGTTAGGGGAGGGGGGTGTGGGTAGTTAACAGTGACTTAATGGAGGGAAGGGTCGGTGGGCAATTTCCCAGCATCCTCTGCCGATCGTGATAATTGAGGAAATTGTGCTGACTTTGTGTCACATCTCCAAATGGTTAGACATTCAAGTCTACTTGAATAAATAAGAAAGGCCACAGGCCCAGTCCCACAGTATTTAACATAATAGGGAGTTTAAAATAACACGGTGGCGAAACTTAAAAAGTGGCTTCACATCCTTTAAAAACTTCAACACGTTCATCCTATCCCGCTCACTTTTTCCAATGTAGGCAAACTTTCCTGGAGTTGCATTCCGAAGAAAAATATGCAGGTTTTAAAAAAAATTGAGAAATTCGTTGTCGTTTACAATACTGATCGTTTCACGTCGTAGTCCTACAAAGTGCGCTGCACGTACAAAGTTGTTGTTCAACGTACCAGACGAACTGTGCGAAAATTTAGACATCTTGCCGTTCAAAAATTTTGAACGTCAAAATCAAGATGGGTGTAGTGTTCTGTGCATGGGCGAAAAGTAAAACCATTGACAAAAGCTTAAATTCAGCCTGGTTCATCTGTGTGAACTGAGCAAGAATATTGAACGGTTCCGTGTTTTGCCGCCCAGTTAACTTTTTCATCCGGTTGAAAATTCGTCCGACGCCGTGTGAGCGTAGCCTAAAACTATTTTGCGTCTTCTTGAGGTGACATCTTACAATACCTCTGTGTGACTGTTGGATACAAAAGACCTACAGTCGAACACTATTGACTAACGACCACCTCCCTAAAACGGTCACTTTATTTTGTCCCGGCGGACAGTCCATACATTGACCCTTATTTAAACCTCTCTACAACGGCAACGGCCACAAAAGCGTGTCCCCAACTGCCAAAATAACCTCTCGACAACGGCCAGTTTTTTCAGCCACTGATGAAAAAGTCAAGAATGGTTATGACATTTGATACGTATGGCGTACCAATCCACAAATTTAAACCCCTAAAAGGTGCATGCAGCAAGCCCCCCCCATAACGGCCACCTGTCAACAACGGCCACTTTCTTCTGTCCCCTGGGTGGCCTTTATGGAGAGGTTCGACTGTACTTGCATGTTACTTTAGGTCTGTTATTGTGTGATATTTAAGGTATATGTTTTTCTTATCCAGGGCTGAGAGGTTTGATGATGGCGGTTATGATGGCAGCTTTAATGAGTGATTTGACGTCAATCTTCAACAGTGCCAGTACTTTGTTTACCATTGATGTTTATGGCAGATTTCGTAAAAATGCCTCGGTCAGAGAACTCATGATTGTGGGAAGGTACATGTTTGTATTTCACCTTTCTCCAGAGTTTAACTCCCCCAATATCCAGATACAAATTCTCCACACTACTCTCCATTCTTTGCCATAAAGAATCACTTGAGAGAATTTGATAGAAGAGCAAATCATCAGTTTATTTATTCTCATTGATAACCTTTCCCCTTAATGTTGTATTGACATTGTTGGAAGAAATTTGATGTTGATCACTCTTAGGACTCGCTAAGGGTTAACCTTGTTTCTCTAACATGAAGCACCTATCTAAGAGTATTGCTTCTATCCCTTGGACGGAATGCTAGTTTATGCAGGTTTGCCACGGTCAGGGGAAAATCAGGGAAAACAAAAATTTGTCATGGTCAGTGAAAAGTCAGGGAAAGTCTTTGATATTGTCAAAGTCAGTGAAACGTCAGGGAATTATATTTTCGTTGCACACAAAATTCCGTAAGCGTAAGCGTAGTTTCAAAAGGAAGTCAGGAATATTTTCAAGTGTTATGCCGTGTTTTGCAGGATAATGGTAGCGATCATGACCGGAATAGGTATCCTGTGGATCCCAGTGGTGCAGAATGTACAGGGAGGCCAACTTTTCATCTACATACAAGCTGTCAGTGCATATTTCTCGCCGCCAATCGCAGCTCTATATCTGCTTTCAATCCTTTGGACCAAAGCTACAGAAAAGGTTTGTACCGAATGATGCCAAGCAGGCATTTTATTGGCAGCAACTAACACTCTTTTTAGGTCCGTACAACGTAATGTACCGGAGAGCCAAAATTGGTCAATTTTATGCTCGAGTCATTTCTTAGTATCTTAACCCATACATATAATGCTCCTGTAGGGTTGTGAAGGAGATATCAAACAAATTTCATCAGGGAGGACTAACCATAATATTTTTTGGCCATTTTTTGCCGGCATATCATTAAAATTTGAAGGATGGCCCAACTTTTTCAAGTTTCAGCCCATGTCCATCCTTGCCACCCCGTTGTGACAGACAACAGGAAACAGTTTTAAAGCCTTAAACAACAAAACTGAATCATTATTTTTCGGAATTCCATTGATAAGATGAAGACACTCTTTAGCTTTTTAAAAAGATAGCAGGCAGCGTGACATAAAAAGATAGCGAGTGGCGTGACATAAAAAGATAACAAGTAGCGGGACATAAAAAGATAGCGAGTAGCGTGACATAAAAAGATAACAAGTAGCGGGACATAAAAAGATAGCGATTAGCGTGACTTAAAAAGATAGCAAGTAGCGTGACATAGCCTCTTAAACTAAAATTCTGTGTTGTCATTCCATGCTACAGGGTGCATTCTGGGGTATGATCTTGGGCTTCATTGTGGGTGCTATACGCATGATCCTGGACTTTACTTATCAACCGCCTCGTTGTGGCGACGAGGATACTCGTCCATCCATCATAGCCAAGGTTCACTACATGTACTTTGCCTTGATTCTCTTCTGGCTTACCATCATCACCATTGTTGTCATCAGTTATTTTACAGAACCAATGCCGGAAGCCAATGTGAGTAGATAAAGACATTTACCCGGGAAAAGAGTTGACTTGTTTTTCATGCTTAAAATTAGTTTAATCGAATTCCACTTAGTGAGTCTGTTGTTTATTTTATGACTTAACTTTGTGAAGCAGCTTGAGCGGCGTTAGTTTCTGGACAAAAGTATTTCAACGAAAATTGTCGCAGAAATGCTTCGGTGTCATGCTTTATAATTGGCTCAAAGATCTCGCGCCACTTTTTGAGCCAATCAGAACGGAACCAAACCCAGTCGCAGTTTCCACTCGTGCGTTTCTCCCGCGCTTGGCACCTTCTACCTGCTGGTTGGTTCATCGAGTTATTGCCTGTGTTGTGATTGGTCGGTGTTACTAGGAAGCTTCACCAAAGATGACGGTGATGGCAACGAGAACGGGCATCAACAACTTTGCACGTGCAGCACACTTTTCTTGTACATTTTTTTGGCCGCAATTGCACGACCATAAACGTCCTAGTTTCACTTTTTATGGAGGGCGCGAAGTCAAGAAAACGACTTTCTTTCTCTTTTTTGAACTCAAATGCAGTTCTTTTGAATTCATCTCCAGAAAAATTTCTCAACATTTGACATATTGAGCGGGATAGAATAAGAGCGATCATAATTTTTAAACAGCGCGAATTAATTTTATGAGTGGCGTTTTTGCTGTGGTCGCCAGCTCCCTATTACTTTGGTTTTTCAATACAAACATGCTTTGAACATCAGGTGGCTCGTTTGACATGGTGGACTCGTCATGATAAACCATCAGACACTGATGTCATGGAAGAGGCTAGAGATGAGGAGATTGAGAAACAAGAAATCACAGAAGACAGTGATGAGATTGAGATGCAGGACATTGCTGCGGAGAAAGAAGAGGAGAAGGACGATAACGCTGTTACGGAAGAGACACCTGCTGTGGATACTGTGCACCACAGTAAGTTATAGAAGCGAGTAAAATGAGTCAGTGGTGTAGCTGGTGGTTTTTGATGTGATATTCGTTTTTGGTTCGTTTTATACGGATTCGCGCGGGGTCAAAGGAGAAAACGATTGAGAAGGGGGTGAGAGGAGGGGAGGGAGAGGAAAAATCTCACTGTTTTCTCTCCTCACCCCCTCCCCCATCGACTTCTGGTTCGACCTCGGTTCAGCTTTCGCGCGGCTGCATCTCTTACTTTGCGAACCACAAAAGAAAGAACAAAAGAGGCCGCCAGCTACCCAGGCCATGAGTGCTCTGAGGAGAGAAAGCCTTAGTTACAGTAGAGAGATTTACAACCATGTCCACCGCAAATAGTAAACGTTAGATTCAGGTTGACATACAATTTCTCAATGTAGGAAATGAATATATAAAATCATTGTAAAATAATTGTGGGAATTAACCTGATATGAAACCTAGTCCTTAGTTTTGTTTGGGTAATAATAACAAATAGTATGAGACAAATAAATGAAGGCCTTGGTCACATGATGCAACTCGGTTACGTTTGACGTAAATGTTTAATAACTTAAGCAACAAGTACGGGGTAGGGTAACAGAAGCGGTGAAACTTTGTACGTTCATCACACTTCTATTCCCATCACTGCACGACTACAACGTAAAATTCTCTAGTATATTGTCGAGTGCTTGTCCAGTGATTATAATGCATTACGAAAACTCCTGAAAAAATAACGAATTTATCCCTTTCCCCTCTCCTTCCCCCGCTAACAAGCACCTGCCGTTACTTGAATCGCGGATAGCGGACTCTTTTTCTGGTCCCAAGGATGTCAACGCGCGCTAGTTTTAACACCGCGGTCCATCACAAATCTAGGAGTAAACATGATATTTTAGGTATCCTTTTCTAGCAATCTAGTGTGAAAGCTTGTGTGGCCAAGCAGTTAACACCTCATCTGGAGGTCCCGGATTCAAGACTCGCCCGTGGCGTTGCTTCCTTGCTTCACCCAGGTGTATAAATGGGCTGCGATCATGGACTAGCATCCCCTCCAGAGGGGAGTAGCAATACTCCTAGGTGTTCCATGCTAATGAAACCGGGATAAGCTCCTGCCGTTTGAGTCTTGTGTGCGCCTTTACCTTACCCTTTTACCTTTCTAGCAACCTAATCCTACCTTTATCATTAAATAAATTGCTCAGTGAAGGATGCCTTCGCGCATACAGCTGTTATTCGTTTATTTTGCCGAAAACTTCGCAATGTATAGCCAATGTTTTGTAGTGCTGTGTTCAGGAACGCGTAACGAACCCCTAAGAACGTCTGCGTGGGAGGCTATGTTTATTTGGCTATTTTTGGCCAAGGACGCGGCCTGCTCCAAATTTTCCCGCGCAAGTACAGAACGCGGGGAAAACTTTCGCCCTCATTTTCGAAAGCGACAAATACTTATGTTCCTTGACTGTAGCTCTTTTTGTTTCAGAACACAAGCCACACTCGAAGATAAAACGCTTCTATTCGTGGTTCTGTGGTTATGAGGCAGGAACGGAAGAAGCCAAAAAAGCAGCTCATGAACAACATGAACGTCTTCAACACCTCACATCCCTGGAGCGAAATCGTTACGCCGAAACCTTCCTTAACATCAATGTTCTTATTATTATGGCAATCGGGCTCTACCTTTTTATTTTCTTCTCCATTTAATTTTCGCGCTATAATCTGTGTTCCTGGGTCTTTTATCCAGGGGTTTGTAATATCTGTCAACGAGTTCCTCACGCTTCATTTATTGTCTCCTAGGGAAACAGTGACTTCCGTTTTCCGTTAGACCGGTCAGTAATTAAGTGTTTTCTTATACCTCATAACTCGATATTTCGGTCATAACCCGAAAAAAGTTTTATTTGCTTGGCGCGACTGGCAATTAGACTTCTCCGGCTAGCCTGCGTAGCTGGCGGGATCGTCACGGCAGCGCGTATTGAGGCAGAGAGTTGCTAGTCCGCGCTGAGAATGAGGAACACACGCTTTGAAATTAGAATATTCTCGCGTGGACGAATTCTGCTAGCTACACATGTTAACTTCCCTCGTTTGCAAGGTACACAACCCGGAACGCTTACCATTTGTATGGAAAATGCCTAATTCTGGGAAGAATACAAAATTGTAACAGTTCATCCTGGTGGAATACCCTTGAAGAATCACGTTTTTCCCGCTTTTACAGGGCCGACCAAAATTGTTCGTACCATTTGTTTGGATTACCAGTGCCAGGCTTCCTCACAAGAAAAAGCGAAACATTAACCGGGATTTTGTAAATGATTTAAGTTAATTCCATTCCTGTTTTAAGTGCGAAAAAAAAATACTAGTGCCATTTGACGTAAATTTTCTCAAAAATTTCCGTTCAAATGTTAAAAGCTCTTGGTAACATGCGCGAGTCTAACACTCCCAGGGGATATAGTTAGGGAGGGAGGGGAGTTTGGGCGCTCGCTTTAGTTGGGAGGTATAACAAAGATAAGGGTATAAATACACGGTGTGTAATCTACGTTGACATTTTCTTTCAATGCTTCTGTCGGGTCTAGTTTTTTTTTATAATTTTCCTGCCCATGTAACCTGTGTAACAGTCTGATAATAGTTGTAGTAACAGTTCTATAATCATTATACTTAACAATTTGCTGAAGTTATAAGCGTGTGGCTTACATTGACTTAGTAAATAACTCTAAGCTGAAGTTAGGTGAACAATTATTTTGGGTGATTACAGTCAGTAGGGCAAAATATTACTTACTGCTCCTTTGGGCGCTCACGTGGTAAATAGTACTAGAAAATATTTTTTCATTGTGGTAAAATGGGAACTGTAGCTATCGTTTGTTGTAATTTTTAACGTAAACTCAGTAATATTTCAACCGTGCAATTGTGTCATGCCTGATTTTTTTCCCGCTTAAGAGAGGAAAGGACAGAAATCGTCCCACGTCCAGTCGACCTCAGTCTATTTCCACTTCTCCCTCTAACCTGTATTTCGTATCGTTATAGGGTTAAGGGTATTGTTTGGGTCCTTTGACTATTTTTTCGTGAGTCCGCTGACAGCCTTGGTTGTAAACTTTGTAATCTCATTTGTATTGTGATTCTCACTCCGTAAAGAGGGGTACAAAGAATCCTTTGCATTCGGGCCGTGGTGTGAAAAAAAGGCGGGACACGGGGGAGAGGGCCGGGCACATGTAAGTTGGCTAGCTCTTTACAAGGTGTTTACTAGTCGATTATTTCACAACAGTCTGTTGATCAATTTAAATGCCCCCACTGCACAGATCTTAGTCCTTCTACAGTTAGATGACCCTGTCGGTCATTTCCTCTCCGCCATCGTCGTTCTGTTCACTATCCTCAACGCTTCCCGTTCTTCGAAAACGCTCTATCAGTTTTGTATACAGTTTCTCGTATTCGTGACTCTTGACGATGGAGTTAATCACGTTGGACATGGCAGCTAAACCTAGAATGACCATAGTGACACGATAGGCCATATGTGTTTTGTGTCTTGAATTGGATCTTGAATGACCAGGAATCAGATCACCGAACCCAACAGTCGTAAACGTGATGAAGTAGGCATAAACACCTTCCAGAAATGTCCATTCGTCGATTTTCGTTTGGATTCCTGCGCCTACGAGCAAGAAAATCAGCAACAACAGGAAACCTAAAAAAGCGCATTTTTCGTTTAAGAACTTTGGTGTGCTTTCTTTCTTTAGGCAGCCTTTTTCGAATCTTGTGATGAGGATTTGTTGACCATTGAGCATTAATTCTCCAACCACTTGTAAAAAGAGAATGTTTATCGGGATGCCGAAGAGAGCGTAAAATATGCAAAGAATACGTCCAGCTGATGTCACTGGTGTGATGTTTCCATAACCTGGAAAATAATCACAGGACGGTTAAGTTAATGGCCCGACCAGAAGGCGGTCGAGTCCAGTAACCCCTTATTCTACAGACTATAGCCTTGATAATGCGACCACCCCACCACCCTGTCACTGGACGCTCATTAGGCTGCAACCTCGTTTCCAGGTTCTCTCTCTTATCCTACTCTCTCTCGCTCCATAGGGACGGAGATTGATTAGGCTGGAGCTTTATTTCTGTAACATGAAACGACCACAAATGTTTCTTCTCCCCTCTGGACTGGATGAGATGCCAGAACCTCGTACCCCCAGCAATTTATCGCCGGTACTCACTGCCGCTGGGTGAAGTGAGCGGGCGTCTTAGGGAAAAGCATCTTTTGGATTCCCAGGGTGCCAGGGTAGTCATAATTCTGAATTTGCACACTATTTACAACTATGTAACAGCCACAACCAAGCGTTTGCGTGGTTGATGGTCATTATTTAAACTTGCAATCACAAACTAAGGTTTAGTATCATAAAAGTGACGCTACCTTAAATACGATCATGACCCAGTTAATGTAGACTGCAAATCAGTCCGTATTTTTGCGTATTCAAGTACGCCCTACGGGCCCTTCGGGCTTGTGAGGCTCCCGCGGTTCGCGCGCATAAGACTCTTACGCCACGCGTTACCGATTTCTTTACTGATTTTGAGGAAAAAACCGGCTGTTTTGCAGTCTACAGTTAATGCGGCGACTCGTATGTAATGCATCAGTCAATTCCATTTGCCAACCCCGGGGCCATTTCCGAGCTTTTGACACGCACGCGATTTCCTATCAGAATATAACTACACAGAAGGTTTTACTGAAAAAAAAAAACAGACTGGCTCATCTGTCAAGGACAGGAATAAATTGAAGAGGGATGTAAAAGGCATGTTCTCGATTTTATGCATGCAAGTCTTCATTGCTTATCAAGCCAGAATAACATTGCGAAATTGGAGCTATGGATGTTGATCAAAATCTTTTGGTTATTGAATCAATTTTTGTTGATATCATTTGAAGAACATCCTTTCATATTCATAAAACTACTCATAACATATAACTTTACAGCGTTCTATTAATTTTTATAATGTCAATAATTTCATATCAATACTAAAACCATAAACTGGTGCATGTCGTCGCGGCGTGAAGTCTTAATTAGAATCCTCGCGCTATTACAAAGGAAGACTTTAATTGAAACCAAAAATCGAACATTAAATGCTTAAAATGGCACCATTCGACTGTGCGATCAATGAAAACTGTTGCAGTGTTGACGGAGGACGGGCATTTGCCCTCTTTTTTCGTCCCCATCCCGGGGGATTTGACAGCTCAAGAGTCTGCACCCCTGGGAATTTGCCATCCAAGGCAAAAAAAATGCTAATGCCCGGAGGTCAGCCACGGGGGGGGGGTCAATGGCAGGTGGAACTGACTGATGCATAATTATGGGTTATTTGCATGCTTTCAGCTGGGCGGGATTTTGCGCTTATTAAGGATTAGAGATCTACCACCCCCCACATCAATCAAACAAAACCAACGCGCAACACAAGCGTCTCTTTAGCGCCAGGCTTACTGCTAGCAGAAGTGATCGGCAATTATTTATCACCTCTTCGCACTGCCTTGTTACTTTGGGAAAGAGTTAACAGAAGCCTTCGCGTACTAGAGCTCCCGATAAGAGGTGGGTGCTTGATACGGGGCAGTGGGAAAGGGAGAACGAGAAGTCTCCCTCTCTTGCCCCCCCCCCAACAACACCACCACCACACATCGCCTCTTAAAAGCAGGGAGTGGGGAGGACACGTTTTACCGAGAACCGCTCCCGTCTCGCGTACCTATTGCACGCGTACTCATTTTCTTTTCGCGCGAACTTCGCTTGACGGGCTAAGCAAGAACAGGGGCTGCTCTTGGTCTATTTTATTAGTTTTTGCACTCAAATCCATATCGCGCGGACCTACGTATAACTGCTGCCTGCTGGATTTGCCAAACAAGGTCGTCAAATTCATCCTCACTCATATTGTAATTCTTTGTAACATCTTCCTTCAGTTTTTTAAGCCGAAGCCCTGCATTTGACTTTTCGGTACTCCCACTATCGCCTTCAACAGCTTTGAACATAAACACTCCAATAGTTATGTAAATCAGCCAGGTTAAAAACAAGACTAAAAGTTTGTAAGCTTTTCCCGACATGGCCATGTCTGCCTCTTGGATGGAGCGATCACAACTGCTCGGCCTTAGGTAATCTGTTGCTATGACAATGTCAACATAATTGCCACCGTAGATATAAAATACTTATATACCTCGCCTCAGGGCCAAAGGATCACATTTGAACAGTTTAATGGAAGCAAAATTGCCGGATGTTTTCCTACAAAATAATCATCCCATTTTTATTGCAAATGGAAATCAATCGGAAATGTTTAATACATTTTGAATCTTTACAGTTCACGTGAGACTGTCAATGGATTTTAAGAAGAAAATGCACTGTTACAATTTAAGTGATATTTTTTGTCTGCGTTTATTGCTGACATAGGTTTTGGCACAATATAAACAAAAAAGCAGCTGCTGAGTTTCAGTTAATTGGCACAACTCCCTTTCAGCCAATTATCACTTTTCTTGTTATTCTTCTCTCTTCTTCAAAGTTACATTCTCTTTGTCTTATCTCCCATCGCAATTAAAATTTAGAATTTTTGTTTTGTTGAACCAAATATGGCAAAAAAATATCTGTTTTTGTAGCCCCGGAAAATAAAACCAGACGTGTAAAAGTTATGGCGACGAGTGTTTTTGCATATGTTCTTATAACCAGTAATAAAAAAACGTTATTAATACATCAAACGAATTCGACCGGTATTTTCATTAATCAAGGCAAGAGAAGACAAGACATGGCAGTGTTTATTTGGAGACTTCAACTTCAGCAAAACTTGAAATCACAAAATAAGTTACTTGGAGTTATAGTTACATAGCGAAGAATAAATAAATAATTAAACATAGGTATACATGGCTTTTCACTATTTAGATTCTTTTTCTTTTCTTATCATCGACGAAACAAATCATACTTTGCTCTTTTGACTTTATTGTTTTAGTTGCGCATTTTCCACGGGGGATATATTAAAAATATTTATTAATCAACTTCTTCTGAAGTTTGTTTATCTCCTTGAACAGGTTCTAGAATAACATGGAAATCATTTCTACATGGTTAAGAAATTTAAATTTCTTATCGGAGCGAACGACAACCAAGAAATACCGCAAATTGAAACTTCAGCTAGGGTGTCAATATTTATCAATGCCTCGGGCGCCCATTATATTGCATTGTATAGTCGGTTAACATATTGCCTCACTTGCATATAAATTTATTAAAAAAAACGTGCTAAATATGAATTGAAAGAGATTGTCAACGCCAGGGGTAAGGCAGTCTGTACATTATCATTAAGTTTTTTGTTATATCAGCTATCAGCTCAGAAAATAAAATGCAAATTGTCTGAGCGCCAAAAGTGTTTACCAGCATTACATATTCATTGTAAAATTTCAAGTGCATTTTTTTTTACTGTCGTACTTCACAATGAATAGCTCATTTGTCTATCGCTGCTTTATTCGATTCACATTTTCTGAAAAAAAAAAACACTGTTGTAATATGTGCTTGAATATTTTCAAAATAACATGTTAGTAACTCAATCAACAAACAGGGCTTTTTCTTGTCCGAAATATTCAAGGTGGAGGTATAACCAATAACAATTTGTGAGGCTTTGATAAAAATAATAATAAACCCGAATGTAATGATGACTTTAAAAGAGCGTCAAACCCGCTTTCAACAACAACGTAGCAGGAACACTAATCTAATGCCTGTCATACTGAAGACAGTTTCTTATTGTCAAGAATAGACATGTGAAAATTTGGAAGCAAAGAAACTTAACAACGTCTCAGGAACTCCTAGAAGACTGATCAGTTCTTCAATTTGCAGCTTCGCTCAGTCGTGAAAGCAAACTAACGAACCATGACTGTTTTTGGCTGTGCGCGAAGATGACACCAGTCACTGGTCTGCCTGTGCGGAACAGTCCAAAATTAGAGCATTCTTCAGGAGTTCCTATGGTAAATTTTTTTTCTGGCTCCCTTTGCATTCATACGAAAAGAGTATTGCATCACTGGTCTACAATACATCATTTTAGAGCGGAACAATGACGAGGAAGGCCATTTCAGAATTCCAAAAACCCTCACTTTCAATCAGATGCGAGGGAAGCCAAGTGCAAAACCTTTCTTCACCTCATTTAAAAAGAGGCTTGGCAGGGTAAGCTTGTCTAGATCTTAGTCCTTCGTCTATCTTGTACTCCTTTGTCTGTTGTTAGCAAAGTTGGGGGAATTTTTTGCTTGTTTTTTATAACTAATTTTTTGGGGAAACCAACGGCAGCTCCTGTTAGAGGCTAATGATTTCATTCCAAACAGTGCACTCCAAGCGACGCCTTCCCGTGATACAATTCACGCCTCGTAAAAGCGAGATGGTACACTGCAGAGGGAAGCTGGGAGACACACAAAAGCAAACGGGCTTTTTACACAAAATCGCAATGTTATTGACCTAAAAACACACACGTTAGACAGATTTTCGTCTTTCTAGACTTTGGGGGCCTTTTCGATCATTTCCTCTCCACCATCTTCGTTCGGTTCGCTGACTTCAACGCTTCTTGTTCTTCTAAAGCGCTCTTTCAATTTTTTAAATAGTTTTGCAGAATCTTCACACTTAACGATGGAGTTAATTACGTTGGACATAGCAGCTAGACCTAGGATGATCAAAATGACACGATACGCCATATGTGCTTTGTTTCCGGACTCATGACCAGGAATCAGATCTCCAAACCCAACTGTGGTAAACGTGATAAAGTAGGAATAAAAACCTTCTAGAAATGTCCACTCTTGAATGCTCATTTGAATTCCTGCGCCTACTAGCAAAAGAATCAGTAACAACAGGACTCCTAGAAAAGTGCATTTTTCGTTTAAGAACTTTGGTTTGCCGTCAATTTTTAGGCAGCCTTTTTCGAATCTTGTGATGAGGATTTGTTGACCATTAAGCATTAATTCTCCAACCACTTGTAAAAAGAGAATGTTTATCGGGATGCCGAAGAGAGCGTAGAAGATACAAAGAATGCGTCCAGCTGATGTCACGGGTGTGATGTTTCCATAACCTGGAAATAAATTACATGACAGGGTGATTAATCTGATAGGCTTCTGTTGAGTGGTATAGTTATTCGGCTATTCCGTTTCTAGTTCTAGGACAATACAACCACCGTTTCGATTCTCTAGTAGTTACCTTCTGACACTGAAGATATATTAACCGGCGTTACAGCCTTGACCGAGACATATGTTTTATGACACATGATGGTCAGAATTTGAAGTTAAAATCACAAAGTTTCAAATAAGCAAAAAGCAGCAGGACGCGAGATACGGGAAGTGTGCAGTTTCTCCTTTTTCTTAGCCTTTCCAGTGAGTCGCGCGCGAGAAAATATGGCCAAGCGAGCACACAATAGGGTATAAACTTTCTTCACGTGTCGTGTTCCTCAAAGCTACTAGGGGAGTGGCACTCGACATAGGTGAGCGCCTCTCTTGTCTCGCTACTCTAGTTGGGTGCTCGGTCATTTCCATCTCGCGCGACTTTAATATTCGACGGGGTTCAGAAAATACGATTTGACTCGGGTTAACGGTTTCGTTTCCTGTGTCTTGCGGCTTTTTAATCCTCTTGGATCAAAGACGAGAACCAAAAACAAACTAAATATAGACCTTTAGATTCTAAGACGAGTACGACAACGAGTACGAGTTTTTGTTCAGTGCTAAGTAGTGCTCGCGCGTGAACCAGCGTCATTTTGGCGGGAAAACGTGATAGCCGTCGTCACTCTACTACGAGTTTTAGCGAGAATGTCGAAGTGGCGGAAACAAGTTATTAAACGCTCTTTAGCCTGCATAGCAGGCGCTTGGAAGTAGTGGGCACAAGAAAGAACAGGCGCGCGAGAGGGAGTGTGTCTCCATCTCGCGCGCGGGTTCTTTCTTGCGCCCACTACTTCCAAGCGCCTGCTATGCAGGCTAAATGCTATTAAATGTTAGAAGTAGTATCATTTTGCGATCGGTAGGGTGTAACCTCCTTCACTAAAGATAACAGTGCTAACGTTTCTAGTGAAAAATGGTAAATTGAAACTTTCCGGGAAGTCTATATTTTGAGTTATCATGCGAAAAAGCTTTAAGTCAATTTTCGTACGCGTTGTCGTACTCGCCTTAGAATCTAACTGGGTCTTCTCTAATCGCTGCTGGGTCTTAAACCCGTGTAAACGAGTGCTCTTACAGTCGTGCAAAACAATTCCCCCCCCATTTCCAACTTATTTTCAAGAAAAACAATACATTGGTCCTCGTGTTAACAAGTTGTCCCTGATTCCCGAGGGGGGCACCTGGGTATTTTTTGGGCGGGTATGTGCCGCCCGGGACTCCAAATTGGCACTCTGTTCTAGAAAAAATTTCCCCTAAAATTGACACCCCGTTCTTGAAATAGGCCAATTTTTTATACCCCGTTCTAGAATTCGCCCTAAAACTGATACCCCGTTCTAAAAATGGGCCAATTTTTTACACTCCGTTCTAGGGGGCAACAAGAGTACAACGGTTTACTTGTTAACGCATTGAGCAGTATTTTTAAAAGCAATTTGTCCGTGAATAATTTCAAATGGCTGCTTACAAAAGTGGAGCTTTGATGCGTTCGAAATATTATACCCCGTTCTAGAAAACGCCTCTGAAATGGATACCCCGTTCTAAATCAGGAGCTTCAAAATCACGACCCCTTTGGGCGGCACATTGACTATTTTCGAATTCCCCATAGTACACTCTGTTTGCCCCCCAAATTTTGCATAACTTATTGTCTTAAAATGCTCTTGGGAAAATGCAATACTCCCAGGAGCATTTAAAAACAATGGTTTACGCAGAATTTGGGGGGGCAAACAGAGTGTATTATGGGGAATTCGAAAATAGAGAATACCCGTATAGGTAATGTATGGGAGTACCCCTCGCCCCCCCGGCCCTGATTCCTCATTTTCCATAGGGTGGCAGAGTTGAGCTAATTACGCGAGCTCGCGTGAAATCATCACCTGCGAGGAAGGTGACATCTTTTGTCCCTCATTTTCTCTTAGACTTTCTCAAAGCCCTTCGCTTCTCATTTTCGGTTCCAGAAAACAGAAAGAAAAAATTTGAGCTCGACTTGTAGGCAAGTCTATAAATTTCTCTTCCCTCTGTGTGTCACTTTCCTCGAGGGTGGTGATGTACACGCGCGCGTAAAACGCTCACTCTACCCCATTCCTGAGGAAAATTAGGGACTAAAGAATAATGGAATTGCAATGCAAACAAAACATACCATGCACTAAATTCCAAGCTGAATGTCGGAAATAAAATTAAAATTGTCTTAAACTTAGAAACGTTTTTCGGGCCCACCGAGAAAGTGTTAAGTATTCTCTACGATAAGAAGTAATTCAGTATTTGGGTAAAGTCATGTAAAGTGACATATGATTTCGACTGACTAACACATGATATTTAATTCAACTGACCATTGAATATGTAGTATGCCAATACCCTAAGAATTGTACGCGCATTCTTACCAATTGTTGTCAGCAGTTGAATAATGAAAGACAGAGCGTTTTCATAGCTCCATTCAGGTCCTGCACTTGACAAGTCTCCTGCCTGCTGGATTTGCAGAGCAATGTTGTCAAACTCATCCTCGCTCATATTATACTTCGTTGTGACATCTTTCTTAAGTCTTTCAAGATGTTCTGTATTTGAAGTTTCGGTATCAATTTCACTATCTCCTTCAACAGCTTTGAATATAAAAACACCAATGGCAATATAAACAATCCAGGTTAAAAACAAGAACAAAAGTTTATAAACTTTTCCTGACATCATGGATATATGGCTGCCTCTCAAAGCGATTTGCTTCAGTGGATTACACTGAATGCAGCTTATCAAAAGGTGTCCGTTGCTATGACAATGCCATAATAGTCAACACTATCTGTTTTGTTCACTTTTAGTAAAGAGTAAACTACAATAGTCAAAGGGATCAAATATAAACAGTTTGAAGATGACAAAATAACCGGATGCTTAAATGCAAAACAGTCGTATAACTTAGTGTCGTATTGGCTGGAAAAGGTAATAAATTGCCGAAAATGAACATGTTCGATAGTGAATACATTTTGAATCTTTACTTTTAAATAACATGGTACAAAGGATTTTTTTTACCCGTAATCGTTTATGGCATTTTCGCTATATTGACTTAAAATTAAATGGTTTTGATATAATCCAAACAAAAAAAGCAGGAAAAAGCAGCTGCTTTCTTCAGTTCACGCAGTGTGTATTCAACTTAGAGAATTACAAAGACTCTTTAAGGAGATGTTGAGTATCACTATTCTTGGCTTGCACTGTCACGCAATGAAAAATAAAAATGCAAACCATTCAATACAGAAGGACTAGAATCTGGGAAATGAAAAAACATAAATATACAAAAACCCCTGCCAAGAATCAGGTCTGTGAAATATTTCAAATGCGAGATATTGGGAAAAACGGTTTACCTAAATTTATAAGGCTTTGTATGGAAACGCCATGTTGGTGTCCCTTTCAGGAACACCAATATGGCCGCCGGATACCAACAAAAACATCTGTTTTCGAGTTTTCCTACTAATGCGTGAATTCTTCGCTTGAGAAACTCATAAAGATTACAGTAATATTTATTCTGAGACAAGGAATGTTTAGATTGCAAAATCTCCCAAAATAGGTAATGTTTTTAACCCACATAAGAGCTTTCCCGGCCGCCAGCTAAATGCCGCGTAACGCAAAAGCCTGGAAATTCAAGCGCCCTCTCTCGCAAAACGAAGAACCCTTTCCAACCAAAAATTTGTTCATGTAAAGATGTTTAGGTACTGTAATACCTCGTGAAAGTAGAAACTCAGAAGAATCGATAGTTTCTTAGTTTTATTTTTGGTGACGTCATGTGCAACCCAAGAATTGCCTTTTTCTCAAAATCCTTTTCTTTTTATGTGGTGCAACCTCACAGCCGAGAATAAAAAGAACTTCTCAGTCCAGTGGCACAAAGGTTTCGTTAATTATATATTTTTTTCCTTTCCGCCACCAATCAACACTTCGTCTTTTTCTTCTTTCACCTTTGGCAAAGATACAGTTTCTTTGTTTTATGTATTCTGTTGCTGATTTTTGTTACAATGGACAATGTTGAGAGAGATATCAATTCATTTTGGGAGGATGATATAAATCCTTTTACCAGAAAAAATGAAACTAAATGTGTAAAAATAATACCAAGATTTAGTGTATATTTGCCTATACATAATTAATAATAAAAAGGATTCTCAATATGCGAACTCAAAAAAGATTTTTCGTTAATGAATATGGACTGACTGCTGGAAAAGTGAGAAACCTGTTACGCAGCCATAAAGACAAAAGACATCGTTAAGTTGTTTTCTGATGTTTGTTTATTTTCCAGTTTATGGAACACTTGAAGTTGATCAGGTTTTTCAACCTAGAAAGGAATGCACAATTTAGGGTTTTTGTAAATTAATGTTTGGCATAGCAATTGAATATTTTCCAACGGCAGGAGCCAGTTCAATTATTCCTTCAACTCCACGCATTGTCACATCGTCTGCAAGTGCATGCTGTGGTTTGCATTTAATTTTCTATTTTTTTTTTATAAAGCTACTACGTGTCTTCGCATCAACTGAACTCCAAAAATAATAATCCAGTTTCGTTATTTAAGACTATTAAGGCTTTAAAAGTGTTTCCTGTCGTCTATTATTGCAAAAAAAAAAAAAACCAAGTAATTTTACAGCAACGGCTCGGCCTTGGCGAAATTTCTTTTTTGACGTCTCATTCTTCATAACTCTACAGGAGCAATTTGTGGAGGCAGATAATTGACCTAAAACAGCAATATCTTTGAAAAATAACCCATTCAAAAGACTCCGATGTTTTGAACACGTCTTTTATCACGGCTCAGTCAATTCCAAGGGTGCCCGTCCCCCCCCCCAACTCCTTGGCGGGAACGACATGGTTTTCTTCCCAGGCTCTTTCGGTCGCTAAAGTTGCCGTTGCCTCTAAAACGACCCGTGCTTAAGTTCCCTATTTGTCGAGTTGTGGGATCCAGCAGTGGGGTTTTTGTTATCAAAGGTCTGCCCAGCTTGGCTGCGTATTTGTCGTTGTTGAACTTTACATTTTCTGGCACTTATAAGGAGCAAAATTTATGGCAAATAAAAAATACATAAATACATGCTTGTTATAGGGAGATTTTATAATCCAGTAATTCTGGCTTCATTATCGCCAAATCAAACACCAGTCACTGTTGGAGGTATAAGTGAAAGATGAGCAACCTGCCGTGGAGAAAAGGCTGCGACTAGCCTGAAGAAAAAAGCCGAATTTTTGTAGTCGTTGCTCGAACGTCTTTTTTTTGGCGAGGAAACCAGTGGTGGCGTCGCGAAATGTCGGCAAGGTTTTCTCAAACTTGGCTGCGACAGGATTTGGAAAGTTTTGCGATCAACTGAAAAGACATTTTCAATAACTGCAAATTAAACTTGCCATAGACTGCGATCAGTCTCTCTTTTTCTTCAGATTAGTAAGGGGAGTGCAAGCGCGCGCGAGCGTTGAGCGGCGCTCCCGTCTCGCGCCTTCAGTCACGCGCGTGGTCATTTGCGTGTCTAGGGCGTTTTGCTCGACGTACCAAGAAAAAAGAGAGACTGCTCGTAGTCTAAACTTACCATGGAAAGTCAAACTTCTTTAAAGTGTCAATTTAGAGAAAATAAGGGTAAGCAATATTTATATTACAGTCAAACCAGGTCAAGCGTTCCCGTCGCTAACAAACTAATGAATTCATTAATGGAAAAATGATTTCGTTTGTTGATTCAATAATCCATTCATAAAATGAATAATCCAACGGTCAAATTGTACCTCGATTCAATAATCAAATGTTGATTTGCTTTATGAACAAAATCTACCTGTTCTTTATTCTTGTCTGTTGTGTTCAATCGTATTTGGTTCCCTTTTCCTGCCGTTTACGATTGCGTTTTTCATTGCCTTTAATCAAAATAACAGCTAGAATAGACAGACCGCAAACGCAAAGAAACTGACAAAGGCCGAGGATCGAAATCCACCAATCACCGCACATACACTGACCTCAGTTTCACCGTCGTGTTTTCTAAGAGGTCAGGCCTAGGTCTGTTGCACTGATTATTGGCAGCAAACTGGCGTACATGTAACAGTTTGTTTGGGTTTGAACTTCAGAACTCGCCAGCACTCGACTCTCAGAAAAAAAAAGAGGAAAAAACAAAATTCTGAGGTCAACTTGTGGAAAGTGTAATTTTTCAGAAAACAGTAATCGAATCAACATTCGATCATGGAATCGAGGCTAAATATGACTATTGGATTGTTCATTTTATGAATGGATTATTGAATCAACAAACGAAATCATTTTTCCGTGAATGAATTCATTAGTTCGTTAGCGACGGGAACGCTTGACCTGGTTTGACTGTAATCCTAGGAAAAAGGAGGGTCTGACCATCCGAAACTTCTGGTTACCTCTCAGCTTGCTAACGCTAATTTCTTTATTGTGTCCTATAATTACTCTATTGTTGTTAGATTGATTTCCATTCACTTGCGGCTCGGATTTGTGATTGTTAGCTTCTTTCAAGAAAACTTCACTTTTGCTTGGTCGGCCCCAGGATAGTAGGATCAACACCACAAGGATTGGTTTGTCGGATTAAAAATTTTCAGAGAAAAGCAATCGCAGTATTTCCTTTCTACATTCAAGAGGTAATATTTTCGTAGCCTTTGTAGGGATGTCCTCTCCCCTCAAAAAAATTCGGAAAGAGAGACGCTCTATTTTTCATCACTGGATTAAGAATTTTAAGGGCGTTTATATGAAATAAATCATATGAGAACTACGGAAATGATATCAAATGAAGAATTGTGAACGCAATTTATGCATTTGCGTAAGAAGCCAGAAAAAAAAAAAACTCAGGACTTCAACGGGGCTTGAAGCCGTTACCTCGCGATACCGGTGCGATGCTCTAACCAACTGAGCTATGAAGCCACTGATGTTGGGAGCTGGTCAATCATGTGTTCATATGATTGTTCCCGTGAAAGATATGAATGTGAGATGTATATGAAATACACCATATCTGATTGCTTTCATTTTTAATCTCCATCGAAGACAGTGGTCCACTGACAACACTATTGATAATATCAATAATAATGATAATATTACTATTATTATCTTCAAATTATTCACGATCACTGGCAAAAAGAATTCATTGTTTTGCCTTGTTCATGCACCTGTCTCACGTTGATATTAATCCGAGTTTTTGAAATATAAACTTCAAATTTTTTCCACTCTTCTGCGTTGAGAGATTTCATCCTTGTGGATTTAGCACCAAAATCCAACTTATTACAACCACTACTCTTATTAGCCTCAAAACTGAAGTGTTCAGATTCGCTACAAATCTTGTAATTGCAGAATTCTTCCACAGAGCATTTGTTTGATTCGGTGTCATTTCCTCCAACTATATTAGTTGATGCACAGTTTTTATCCAGTATAGCCGTGTTTTTGTCTCTTACATCTAATTCATCCAGGTTCACCCCTGTTGTTTTGTTTGTTTTATCATCAAAGAGTCCATTTGGCCATTTCAAGCATGGCGGGGGTTCATATTCATCTCCAACTTTAATGATCCTTGGGACAGCATGAAAAGCAGTTCTAGATTGCCCAGACATGATTAGAATATCACCACTGCGAATGTATAAAGCTGCAAACATAAACAAAAACAGTTACCTACTAACCTTTTCTTCCCCGTCTAAAAAGAAAAAAAAAAGTACCCAACCCCCCACAAGGAACACATGGGAATTAAGCTTGCATTATGGGAAGAAGAATCTAGAACTCACTAACATCCATGTCTGCTTGAAAGGGATTCCCTTCAATACGGGGTCTACTTAGTGCAGTTTTTCTGTAATAACAGCAAAAACAAGAGTATTTCAGCAAGGGGGAAGGATGGGGGTCCAAACAAAATCCATACATTGTCAAGAGATAAATTATGAGAATCTAAGGCACCTGGCCCTAGTACCATTTTACCAGTGATAGCAGTTTTTGTGAAGAGGATACACACATAATTGCACATTAGTTGCCGGTGACTTGTCCCAGGTTCATCTTACATGTAGTTGCTGTACATAATTTGGTGGGTTGGTTTGGCCTGTTTGCTCTGCCACTATGTCTTTTTCATGTTGTGTAGTGGATTGGAAAATACTAGCAAATCTCACCAGAAAATCATGTGATCAACGGAGGCACGAAAATAAACAAACAATGAAGGGCTATTGCTAAATTGGTAGACCATGAGACAAGGTGCTCATTAGGCATCAGAGATTGGAGAATTCTCCATTTACTGGGCAGAATTCTCCGGTTACAACTTTCTCCTGCTACTAGAATGATTAACAAAAACCCTGTGACACTGCAAGTTAACTAATAACATCACCATCAAGACTTATATTGTACTGTTGTTAAGTAAAACTACAATTTACACTGTACAGCTGTACAATATCAATCTCATACTGTAACTTCTCCCACACATATTGTTACTTCTGTTAGAGTGAAGGGGTATATGTCAGTAGGAGAGTGGGAGGTCTGATTTAGCTACTTCAGCTTGATTGACCATTCTTCTCACATTGTAAAAGCTTGCTTTACATGTAATATAGTTTAACCTTCATTGAGCGGCCATCTATTGAGAGGCAACCCTCTATTACATGGCTAGTATTCACGGTGCCAAAAAAATTGTAGAAAAGAATGGCATATTAAACCTCCATTATGTTGCTAGCCTGCAGAGCAGGCATTTTTTAACGAAAACTTGGAGGTACATTGATCGTGGCTGAAAACAATTCATGGATCCTGCTTCAAAGTATGCCTGCTTTGCAGGCTATTAAGTTGCCACCTTTTGGCCATCCCGATGAGGATGACAGTCCTCTTATTGTCCATCAAGTGCTTGATACAATTTAGTTTGGAATTATTTTATAAAATAATACTTGTATTGATGAAGGAAAATACAGTCCGAGATAGGTGACGACTGATTGTGGACCAGTTATGTCGCACCTGTCACCTGTTTGTTTTAAGATAAGGTGACATCTCTTATAAAGATTAAGCTAATTTGTGATGGCCTTCTATCAAACGAGCAACCTTCATTAAGCGGCTACTTGCTGTCAAGGGTGACTGTTTAATGAAGGTTCAACTGTATTTACAAACTCCAACATACCTTCTGGTCTAATGTCTCTGGTAGCTCCACCAATGAGAAAAATCGCTGTCTGTCCAAAACTCAAGGAGATCAGAGGCCAAGACAAATCCGACTCATAATGGTCCGTGTGTCCCCCCATGGTTCCCCCCAAGGGATAGTAATTGACAATACCAGCTTCAGGGGAGTAGTCAGGGTAACCAATGGTACTAGCAATGTGCCGAGTCATGCCGGCCAGGTCCAGTGGAAAGTCATAATATCTTTCAGGTTTATAATCCACAACATTATAATCAAAATGGTAACCAAGGTGCACCCAGCGAAGCCGATCCATCAAGCCTCGATTTTCACCACTGCTGTTGAAAAATAACCAGTGGTCATAAGCTTTTCTTATATAATAATTCATAAAATAACTAAGATAGTACGTGTGTTCTGATTGGTTAAAAACCTATGGTTTATTGTGCTGGTAAACTCATAGAAAACTGAAACATGCTTTAAAGTTATTTTATAAAAGCAATGGACCACACTTTTTATGGGTTTACTGGTGTGATAACCCACTTGGGTCAAAGTGATGTAAAATGTATAATTTAATGGATAATTAGTAATAAAAACCACAGCTGTAGTGGAATGTTACATTATAATGCTATTTAATAATAATTCAAGATAATAATATTAACAATAATAATATTATTAGGGGACATTAAGCAAAAAAAACTGATTTGTGATAGCCTGTTCTGGGCTCTCAAATGGTAGAGATGATGCATAAGTGAGAGATACATCAAAATATGAGCACTTCCTCTCCCAAATTTCCTCCCATTTTATTTTCCATGTTCGTGATTTCTCAATTCCACAGACCCGACTATCTTGGAGCCCGAAACAGGCTAGATTTGTCAGTGGCAAACTGATCAAAATGGTCTAAATAATTGAAAAAAATAAATTATCACATACACTCCTGAGACAAAAGCAAAAGCAAATACTTTCAAAAAGCAGCAGATGCTTTGTAAGCCATAGCCAATCAATCATAACTTAGTTGAATTCTTCTTCCTCACTTTTGCTACATACACTGTATGCGCATTGTAAGTTTTGGCGTGGTCTTTACTATCCAAAGCATAACAAATTCTGTTTTAAACCCTTCTGAATATAGCCTCCCATGCAGGCGCTTTTACAGCCTGCAAAAACATCCGTTTCTCCTCGCTCTTCGCCACCGGCGACGTTTTGCGAGGAGGAACGCCTGCAACTCTGAAGCAGAAATTCCATACTTACATCGCAATCCAATGTTTACATAATAAATCCAGTAGTCATGGGGTTCCAAATACAAATTTGTCCAATTTTACGTGTCTTCTGGTTGATTTTGGGAAGAGTTGTGTTCATCTGCCAACGAGCTCCAGCAAAACTCAAATGCTTCTTCTAGAGAAGACTATATTCCACAAATATTGATTGTCTTGTTAGAGATTCTTCGCGTTTACATTTGACCTTTGTGGCCTTTTGTTTTTTGTCTGTCATTCGTAAACAATAGCTAAAACAATGTAACTACTCCATCGACCAATCAACACTTCTGACCGGATTCTGGACAGATTTTACGTCAAAAGTATGGAATTTCTGTCGCTGAGTTGCAGACGTTCCTCCGTGCGAAACGTCATTATACAGAAAAATTGCTTTGTCCCTGGGGAAAGAAAGCCCTTACAATTTCTCTAAATTCCACCCACTTAATAGGGACACCCCATTGTTAATATGGAAACTTTCTATTACCCCCTCAGTGTCCGAATTAACAGGGTTTAACTGTACACAGTATAGATGATTTTCACAGTGATGTCATCAAATTGTAAAGTCAAAATAGCGAGGTTTTACGAATTCTTATTTACATTAGGTTGAAGATAAACAAAAAATAAATCTTTTTACAAGTTTCCATTACCATAGCATATTTCATTTCAAAAATACAGCAATTTGAACTTCCGAGTTTTCACAGTGCCTGACAGCAAAATACGAATGCTGTCTCACTGAAAAAAGTCTCTCCTCTTTATTTTCAGCAGTATAACCATTTAAAGTATTAGAAGATATGTTTATATGCATGTATGCTAGTTCTTGAGTGAAAAGAGAGAGCTTTTGTAGAAAAAGTGAACTCCAGATGTTTTTGATGATTTCCGGCGGCCATATTGGTGCACCAAAACGGTACACCAATATGGCGTTTCCATACAAAGCTCTACAAAGGTGCATGAAACGTTTTGGCAAATAACTCAGAAACTGTGGGCCACAAAGACCTGAAACTTGGACAAATCATTTATATTTTAGTCTTTTATAACATTTCATTTTCTTGGCTTCTTCCACTGGATGGTTTCCAATTTATTTTTTGTTGCATGATGGTGAAAACGATCTATAGGCGGTTTTCATGCAATCTCGGGAGACACAAATAACAATGGTGAAATGAACAAATGCTGGTGGACAAACAAAGCGAGCTAATGAGCGATCTTTTGTTTAATACCGTCCACCAGCATGGCGGCGATGACGTAATGCACCTATCAATGGTTTGCCCCAGGATGGGGGAGCCGGGCAACCCACGGGAATTAGACTTTGTAAAGCGCACGTGGGTGGGGATTTTGACATCCACAATGGTCCCGGCAGGGTAGGAAATTTGACTCGACCGTCATCTTGAAAAGTGGAGAGGACCTGGGAATGAGTGAGTGGTCTGTCATCTTGGAAAATAGCCAGAAGTCATTTGAGCGAGTTTCCTGCATCCAAGGATGGCTGAACGAAAGGTAAGGAGTATCGTGTTGCTTTTTTTTAAGCCAAAATGTTGTTTTTTATGCCCATCAGTGCTCTGTCTTTAAAGTTCTAATAACATAAGGTATTTTTCCTTCAGCTTTGAGAAGAAATATTTGCACAAGAGCTCATTTAGATCAAAATTTACTTCCTACTTACCTGTCTTCAGAGGATGCCGCCCTGCCTCAAGTTTTCAATACCCTCTGTGTTTATAGATTTGCTAGTATCTCCAAATGTTAAATTAAATGAAATTCTGGTCAATTGTGGACCCCAGTTACAAACATCAGTTGGATGAAAAAGAATACGACCTATTCCAGGTGATACCTGTGATGATAATTGGTACCACCAAGTTTGTGCATTAACCCCTCTTGATGACGACATGTTCTGGCATTGCACATTTTGTGTTGCTGTAAATACTATGTGAAACAATTCACAGGTATTTTCAGCACTACAGAATACGTGTGAAATTGCTAACCAAAACTGAACCATGCTAAATACCTAGAATATGCCTTCTTCATTTAGGAAAATGCACAAACTAGGTGGGGACCATTTGCCATCAAGTACTGTTACTTTCTGGAGGAGTGCTGCGATAAACTTGTTGTGAGTGCCTATCATTTCGTTTGACTTACTATGAAGGTCTGTGGTCCCCAGGGGTGGGAATTTGACTTACAATGGAGACCCAAGGGTAGGGAAATTGACATTTGAAAACCTGAAAATGTCAAATTTCCCGTGGGTTGCCCGGCCCCCCCATCCTGGGGCAAACCATTGATAGGTGCATAACGTGAAAACCACCTATAGATATTTTAATAATAATGTTACGAAGCCAAGTTAAATGATAATTACTAAGCAGCATGATGAGTTACGTGTACCTGTTGCTGATTTCCCAGACTGATTTTTCAGGATCCAACGTCATATGGGCATCCAGATTACACACATTTGGTTTCCGGGGAAAATCTTCCATGCATCGCTTTATCCAGTAGTGTTGGCCTCCTGGTAGAAAAGGATTCACTATAAACATAAGCCCGGGACAAGATTTGAGCTTGTAAGCGCGCCATTCACTAGAACAACGAAGTCCGAACTTCGAATGTATTCCCCCGACTTCGAATTTCTCTACATGTCCGCGAAAGGACGTCGGATCTTGGAAGTCAATTACTTCACTGAAGTCTGGAGGAGGTTTTTTTCGTTTATAGCGTTTATACTCTTCACGAACAAAGTCCACTCGATCTCTTGAAACCTTCTTGTCGCTGCAGAGGTCAGCATTCAAACCATCAGAGTCGATCGTGCCGTCCGCCATGTTTTTGGAAGGCTCAAATGAACAGCAGTATATTACCTTCATCACGTCAAGCGTCATGTATGAGGACACCTAACCTAGCTTGTAGACGTTTGATCATCAATTTTTTCGGGCAAATTAGAAGAATTGACGTTTCCCCGTCCCGTTCGATGGTCACCGCCTCGATCCCCTTCCTCTTTTTTGTCGCTCTCGTTCCAACTTCTCAACAAACAGGGGCACCCAACGGCAATTTTCGGGAAAATATCTGTTCGGAAGACGATTTGAGAACTAGAATTTTCGGAAAATTTGTTGTAAAATTTCTTGCTTGCCTGCCTCTCCTAGGATTTTCGAACATCGACAAAATGGTATAATTACCCATTTTACACGGATATTTACCCTAAAAAAGGCCACCTAGAATTTTCGGGAGCCTTTTCCTGGCTGAAATTTTCGAAAAGGTAAGTTTTGTTCCCTATAATTTTCGGATCACTAGACTTTCAGCTAGGAAATCCGAACAGATGAAAAGTTTTTAGGGGATGAAAATATGCCTATATCTACCGTTCAAATACTTTAGACCATCAAGTACTCTTGTCTAAGCTTGAGCATTATGGGATTCATGGGCTAGCACTTAGCTGGTTGAAAAGCTATTTGTCAAATCGCGTGCAGTTCGTCCAGTACAAAGAGACTTGTTCTATTAGGCTGACTCTGAGCTGTGGAGTCCCTCAAGGTTCTATATTAGGACCATTATTGTTTGTTTTGTATATCAATGACCTCCCTTGTGCTACTCGTCTTGCTGAAACTATGCTTTTTGCAGATGATACTAGTGTGTTTTATTCTAATCCCGATTTAAATTGTGCTATTTCTGCCGTAAATAATGATTTATCTCAAATTGATCTTTTTATGAAAGCAAATAAGCTCTCTGTTAACATAACGAAAACTAATTATATCATTTTTGCAGCAAGGCAAAAAACCAGTCGGCTTCCCAATAAATCCTGTCTTGTATGATGAGGTTTTATTAAAACAAGTAAAGGTAGTTAAATTTTTAGGGGTTTTTATCGACGAGCATCTAACGTGGAAGCCGCATATTACTTATATATGTAAGAAAATTTCAAAATCTATTGGCGTCATGTTTAGGTCTCGTTTCTTTCTTTCTGAAACAACAAAAAGTCTCTTTATTATACCTTAATTTATCCTTATTTAACATATTGTACCACAGTTTGGTCCTCCACTTATGTAACAAACCTTAATAGAATTTTTCTTCTACAAAAGCGAGCAGTACGAATTATTACAAATGCAGATTTTCGCGCGCACTCTGAACCATTATTTTTCCGTTTAAAGATTTTGGACATATACAACATTAATTCATTCTATACTGCACAATTTATGTTTTCATTTTATCATCAATTACTGCCACCGCTTTTTTCGAACCTTTTTGTTACTAGTAGCAATATTCATAATTATAATACTAGAAGTTCCTCGCATTTCCGTTCTCATGCCTGCCGAACTAACACCAAACAATTTTCTATTTTGTTCCAAGGCCCTAAAATTTGGAATTCTTTACCAAACTCAGTCACTTCGATTTTTACATTGCAATCGTTTAAAACGAAAGTTTTTGATTTTCTACTATATCGATAATGCGTCTTGTACTGTCCGTTGTTGTGTGTTGTTATAGTTCTATTGCTTAATATTATTGTAACGAGGGGGCCTCCTCGTACAAGCCTTGTGGTTTTCTGAGGTCCCCTCGCCACATCTTTGTATAATGTAATGCTTGTGTAATCTTTATTGTGGAAATAATAAATAAATAAATAAAATAAATAAATAAATAAATAAAATACGTTCAACAATGCTATGTTAAGTGGTTTTGAACTATTTGCTCGTTGGGTGCCCCTGAACAAACTCACACGGAAATACTTGCATCGCAGGCTTCATTTTCTGATCGTTTTTTGTCTTTTTGGAACAAAAAATACTTCATTTTCTGATGATTTTTGAACTAAAAAAGAGGCCAGTGCTTGCAGGGAACTTTTTTCACAAAAAACTTAACTAGCGTAGCTAAGCTGGCTAAGCACCTAGCCTGTACTTGGCTCTCAGATAGTAGGGACGACGCGAAAATTAAACAAGCCAAGCGAAAAAGGACGCGCGTGACACTGTCCAACCTTTTGAGCAGGTGAAATCAAGATAATTTTTTTAATCCCCCAAGAATCATTCGTGGGCCAAAGGGGCGAGTCGCTGGGGAGTTTGGGGGCATGCTCCACTAGAAAATTTTGAAATTTTGATGCTCTGAAACGCTATTTCTAGTGTTCTGAGAGAACAATTTCTGTCTGAACAATTTTTAATACAGTCATGTTTTGTGCTGTGTGTTAAGCAATCCGCCGGGTGGTTCAACTGAGGCGTCAATGAAACGTGATTTCAAGGTTGACTGCAACAGCACAGTTTCACGTAGCCACCAAACTGTGACCAATATGACAAGAAAACGGTTTATTTGGTCGCTGAAAAATAAACAATCAGATCAGACAATAAAAGCTTGCAATTTGTTTTGAAACCTTCAGAACATGGAAGCGGAAACAAACTATTGTAGGCGCTCAAAAAGTTGGAACGGTAACTTATATTGAGAGTACTCTATGCGTCACGTTTGGCCTTCAAGCTTTAGATTAGAGGAATTTAATTGACAGTCAAGCTAAGTTTCAGGAGGGTTAAACTTGCTGTAATTCGACGCATTTAGTGGAGTACGAAATGGATGTTAAGATACCACAGATTTCGCGTACTGACTGTCTAGCAGAGGAGAAAAAGAATGGAGCCAATTATGAGGAGGCCATGAACGAGGCTTTCAAGGAGATATTTACGAATCTAAAGGAGATCGAAAAGGACACCAGAATGAGAAGACTCAGAGCAGATTTGGAGAGACGAAGAAGTAGTGCTCCGGCTACAGTCCTCAGAGACCAATTGAAAGCTTTCAGAAAACCTAAACAAACAGAAAGACGATTGTCTACACCTCCTTTGACAACTTGGTCAGAAGAAGTAAATAAAATGTCCACCCAGCTACCACAAAAACCTAGTTCGGGGAAGAGAAACAAATCATCTGAATTACCGACTGCGCCACATCCGCGGAGATCAAGATTGTCGCCGACCACGCGGTGGGTTTTGGCTTGTTCTGAAGAGGACGGGGTATGAACAGTGAGTTGTTTAAGATCTTGAAAACTCAGGAAAAGGTTTAAAATAACGGCTTTGACAGCTTGGAGCCTAGTAAGGAACGTGCAATTTGCGATGAAAGCGTGCGCTACAGATCTGTTGCGATTAAGTGTTTAACATTCAGTAGTGTAATGTCACCGAAGTGAAACAGAGTTTTACTCCGTCCTCACTAGTGTTTGCTACAATAGTTGGAGATTACTTTTCAAATCGCTCATGGTCTTTTTACTAAGCGGTTTCTTCGTGTTAGAGTTTCTACTTATTCCGAAGGGCGTCACCACATGAAACCCTAGCTCTAGGCATCGGTTTTGAAACAGAGTTTATCCTAAGTTAGCAAAACCACATTACTTTAGATAAGCCCTACTATCAGGTGGGTCTAGCTAAAGGTCCTTCCACTGATTGCCTTAAATCTGATATCTGATTGAGTCTAGACTATTAAAAGAAAAGACAATATGGTTTATCTTGAATAACATCTACTAGCGGTAATCTGTCTAAATGCCGAACATGCTTTGTTCAATTGTGGTTTTTTTAAGTCTATCAGTAGCTAGCAGTTTTGTAAACAGAATGATTTGCATTGTCCATAAAACTATATATAAACAAATGCGTTGACCTATAAAAAATTCACGGCCAAGGCCGGGTTGTTCAAAGCTGGCTTTATCAACCTAGGCCTAGGGTTTGTGCGAAATTTGAATTCACACTGTAAAAGCTGAAAAAGCAAGTTCAGTTTATTTCCTGTCGTCTACAATTTGATAATTGGATACGCTAAAAGGATTGAAAAAAATTATCCGAGGAAATGTACCCTGGGTACCAGAGGTTTTTCTCGCGTGCGGCGGGAGTTTTCGGTGTTGGCCGAAGGCTGACCTGTTAAATACAAGAAAAGAAACCCGGGTTTATAGCACTAAGCGGCCCTCGAACAACTGGTCCAGGTTAATAAACACCGCATTGGAATATGTATAAATTGATATATAGTATACCCACCTGAGTGTACCAGAAAGACTTCAAAAGATTCAGTTTATTAACTTAATTAAGTAATCCGAGGGACAAGCGTCATCGGACTCATTACTTTTGCTTAATTTCATTTGCTTTCATTTGTTTTTATTCTTCCTGTTTTCATGTCCTTTCCGAAAAGTGAAAGTAATATGTGGGTACTAAGTTTTAATTGGTTAAATATATAAAAATTGGATCGGATGATGTACCTCAAGGCTGATATTATTTGCGGCAACTACCTGAGTTTGTGATCAGTTCAGTTGTAATTAAGTGTTCAGTAAATTCAGCAAATTGCAATTAATTTTAAGTACGCCAAAGTTGCCATAGTAAGTCTGTTTTCGCATTTTTTGCTCAAACTTTGCAAAATCAGGTCAAATTAGATACTCGCAAAATACAATGTTTTCAAAATCGCAGGAAGAAGAAAGCCACGACTGATAGTTCAGTAGCCTTAAGGTATATAGTATCTAACAATTTTGACAAATAATTCTGTGTAATCTCATACAGTCGGCTTGTCTATTGATAGTAATAAGCCCTGAGGCAAAACGAAAAACTGGTGCAAAAATAATTGTTTATTCTACTAGGAAAAAAAAATTTAATTACCGTTAAAGGCTGACCTGAAATAAGGTGTTTATCTCACAGTCTATTTGTTCTTCAGTTAAAAACATATTAAAAATTCTTTAAACACAGATTCTCTCTTGCACAGAGTTAACAAAGGGTGGGCTTTGACGTCAGAGGCGATTGGGTACGGCAGCCATGCATTCAATAGCAACTTTTTTTTCTATTTAAAGACATAAATAACTGAACTAAAAGCAAAAGAAACGCTTAGTCACCATCATCGATATCACAAGCATTGATTG